ACGACGGTTACGGAAGGAACGGACGACAGACCACGGACCACGGACGCAGGGTGATTTGAATAGCCCACCAACAGATGATGGTGGGCTAAAAAGAAGGGTCTTATCGGCAAGCTAGGTTGTATTATAAGTGGTTAACAAATACAAAATATTAAAATGACATCTATTATGGATTTTTTCAACATTACATAAATAACATCCATCATATACATGTAAGCATGGATTCGGTGCTCAAACCAGCTTTCTCCTAACTCACTTAAATTGGGTAAAACAAGAGGCCCAGAGGGCCTTATCGCTCACCTGGATATGTATAAAGTACTTAATATGAGGTACAGCACTCCATGGTAGGTACTGTATGTACATATAGAATTTCAGAAAGATCCATCCAGTATTTCTGGATATATAGTGAGAACAAACTTCAAATGTCAAAATCCAAGATGGCGGCCTGGTGACCATCTTGTTTCAATGAATAAACCATAAAAGTAAGGCACTACAAGACACTTTGATGCAGACAAAAATGTGATAAAATCCCGTAATCCCTTTGGAAGAAGATGGATTTTATAGGTTTTAACTCTATTTCCCCTATCAGGCCCCGCTCCTCTGCCCCAAGGGGGCCTCACCCACAGTTTATACAAAATTGAGTGCCCTTGACCTAAGGATGTTCCAGACCAAATTGGGATGAAATCCCTTAATCCCTATGGAAGAAGAAGGATTTTAAATGTTTATCTCTATTTCCCCTATTAGGCCTCACTCCTCTGCCCCATGGGTGCCACATACACCATTTATACAAAATGTAATGAGCTGTTCTGGACTAGTAGCATTTTAAAGGAAAAGTTGACGAATGGACAACGGATAACGGATGACGGACGCTGCGCCATGGCACAAGCTCACTTGCCTTTTGGGTAGGTGAGGTAATGATCAATTATAAGGTCAACAGTATTCGAGCTTGAGCACAAAATCCATGCTTGAGCATGAAGACGGTTTCATGAATACAGTCCGTGGTCAGCTTGGGCTAGGTAATTTTGTCACCTCTGAATGTTTATGGTAAAAGACTATGTATAGTTTGGGCCTTTTTTTGGCCCCCAAATCCATCAAAATTAAAAATCTTCAATAGAACTTTTAAATGACTGTTTCTTTAATTTTGAATACTTCCCTGGAACTATTATGTGAACATTTATTTAGGTTTTCAATTATGGCTGCCATGGTAGCCAGTTAATATTTGTATAAATTAATGAAATTTAAATATTCAGTAAAATTTGACAGGTTTTTCTCTTAGTTACCATAGAGTGCACTCTTAAACAAACTTTATATTTCTCCTAAAGATGTATTACAGGTGCCTACACATTATCCTTTGATTTTGAGTTTGTTCAATCATGCACTCTACAGTTTCCAGGAGAAAAACTATGTAAAATATGACAAAATTCACTGAATATTCAATTTTTTTCTAATTTATGCAAATTTGAACTTGTTACCATGGCAACAATAATTAGAAATACAAATAAATATTTTCATGATAGTGTTTGGGAAGTAATCAAAATAAAAGAAACAGTCATTTCAAATTTCATTTAAAGGTTTTGAATTTTGATGCATTTGGGGGCAAAAACCGTACATAGTCCTTTAGACCAAACTTTCGTGAAATAATTCTTTGAATCGGATGAGCAGAATTGCTATGCCTTCAAGGTGAGCTAAAATCAAGCATCAACAAGTCTTGTGTAGCGGTTCAAACGTTTATTTGACAGTAAATTTACATTCATACAGTCATGTATACCTGTCGTGATTTATACCTTACAGTAAAGCATGTTACACGTGGAATATAATTTATTAGAACACAGGTAGATGAATTTACAGACTACAGCTGGGAAACATTCACCCAGTCAAACTTTCCACTTTCACTGGTAAAATCCATATTTGGCCAGTACTAACTTAGTCTTTCCTATGTACCTAATCATTATATATAGTATGTTGAAAGGTGAAGTGAAACTGCGGTGAAAATTTTCCAGTTAACAGTAATCTATAAATACATATAATATTTTTCATTCAATTTTTTAAGATGCATTTTTTAAATTGAAATCTGTCTGAACATTTCATTCAAATCTTCTTATTTTATACCTAGACAAATTAATCTGCAGATTTTTTTTCCTTCAAAAACTGAATTTAACACATCTATCTATCCATAGACTGAACTAAATGCATGTGGAAATACAAGTTACTTCTTACCACAGATTTAACTCTTTCACCCTTGAATTTCATAATGAACTATTCCAACCTTTGAATTGGAAGGGTTCAAGTGTGTCTTCGGGGGTGAATAAGTTAAAATAAAAATGTGAAATTCATACTTTAAATGCAGGTTTGGGGATAAGTTTACCAAGATAATATAGATAAGAAACACGAAAATTAAAAAAAATCTCGAAAACCTGTCTGTCAGAGGGCAGAAATTTGACTGGGCAGAACAATAGTCAGTTATTTTGGGAAAACTTGGGTTGAGATCTCCCAATCTCACTTCCAAGGGGATGAACAATTCTGTTAATCACAAACCTCCAGTCTTAAGGGATGCAATGAAATTACTTTCCTTTTCTACACAATCTTTGCAAACATAATTCTTTTATTATCAGAGCCAAACTTTTATTATCAGAACCAAACATTTGCCTGTTTTACTAAAGGGAGGAAAAAAAGTAGATTAATATATACGATTGGGATGGCTTTATATGTTTTCACCTGAAACATGGAAGTAGTAATATCGTGGGGACAACACAGTATATAGTCTATTGCACAAAGACCATTGATTAAAAATAAGAACAAGGAAAATGCATGTGAGACAGTCAGACAGGAAAAAAGTGAATCGAAGCACTCTATATAAACAAAATCAAGACTTACAATACCTAAGTATGCATAGCATCACTGGGTTCAAGGTTATACCAAGGGAAAATGTTAGTAGGTATATCATTTTATTTTGGATTTAATTCTAAAATAAATTAAGCTTAATATTCTTCAATCTATTGATGACCATGATACATTTACCAAAATTTCAATCCTACTTAAAATTTTCACATTTTTTTGTTGTTTTGGTTATTCTTTATTTTTTTACTATATTATTCTATTTCATAATTATATGTTTTTTGGAGATTCAACTTTTGGAATCTCATCAGTCTTCACTAGATCATGATAATTTATTGAAAAGACTGCTGTATTGTTTTCCATCATTATGTGACCCTTGAACCCCTGAATGTGTTAATCTGCAAAATAAACAAATTCACAAATTAAAGCTTTGCATCAAAATTTAAAAATAAATACAATGTGCATCATATGATTCTAGACATAAATACAGGGGGTGATTGGGCCTGAAACATTCATAAAGTTAACATTTGTATTTCAGGCCACAAAATATAATTTTTGGGGTGAAAACAGGGTCAGAAAAAAAAACCTTAAAAAAAAACTTTAAAAAAACCCCAATAACATTCTGGAATAAACCAACAGGATTGTGAACATTCAAGAGGATTTGCGAAAGATAAAAAATGTACTTTGGAGACATTATTCCGTCTTTGCGTATTGCAGAGTTATCTTCTTTTGTGAGCAGGTATTGATTGTTACGTCATTGGTTTGTGTGAGAAAATTACGTCGTTTTCTCAAAAATTGATGACGTTACTCTCACAAACAAATGACGTAACAATCAATACCTGCTCACAAGAGAAGATAACTCTGCAATACGCAAAGACGGAATATAGTATCATATACATTTTTTTTAAACTGTACATGCATTCAGGCTGGCCTATGTGTAGGCAGTGTAATCACATTAAGTTATATCACCATTTTGACATCATTATTAGAAGCAATACATTGATTATACATTACATAAACATGAAACGAGAAACTGGAAATGTTTTATTTTATTTTTTCCAGCCTACTGGGTGGTAAATATATTTTTGAAATGCATGCTTTGGTGTATAGCATAATGACATGAAGAATTTGACTCCAGTGATCATTTTATCTGGATGTGATAGGAGAATCGCTGAAGCTGTTTTTGTAAGAGCTCTGTATTAATAGGAAGCAGGTTTAAGGTTCTCTCTATAAGCAAAATATAACAGGCACTTTACATGCGATACCAGTATAGTTTAGAATGTTGTGAGGTACAAAATTGCATTATCTAAAATTACAATTTCTACCAAAACTCTAATAGTTTGCAAATTTTGTAAAAAAAAACAACACTTAGTCATTGTGTTTTTTCTAAATTTGAAAGATAACTATGTTACATTTTACTCAAGTTAGATAAACATGAACAACTTTATCCTCTTGTAGAACCTCTATGGAGTATTTTCAATGTAGGCATCAGTGGCTGAAGAGTCTCAACACATGAGTGAATTATTATTCATAATTTATAAATACAAAAATACCCCCGGTATTACAGATAAAAGTGAAAATATCAGTTTACAGACACAAATTAAAAATACATTATCATATACATCATAAACAAAATTATCATTTAGGCACATTTTAATAGTAAGTCTAGGAACATTACTTATAACTATATCAATAACATTACATTTGATGAATAATGCATACCGTCAATGTTAAAAGTGAAATTACCATTCTAATTGGCATCTGATGAAATAAGCAAGCAGGTGATCCCATAGTTTTTTACATTCGATCAGGGGCTCGAACCCAAGCCGCCTTGGTGAAAGTGCCTTATCCAGTGCACTGGGTCACTCGACCATCCTCAATATGTATTGTAAGATAATGGTTTTGGATTGTTTGTTTCTTTTTATTGATATTTTCTTGATCATGAATGTTACCAGGACAACATTTTTCAGACCCGAATTATATTTACTAGGCAATTGCAGTTGCATTTATAGATTAATAAAAACATCTGATTAAGCTTTTGAGGTGTAAAATCTTTCAGATGAAATTATGAGATCTTAGAAAATACTGGTTGAAAATGCTTAATTTTAGGTTTCAAAACAGGAGTCACCCACCAAAATAGAGAAAGTGGCAAGTGTGATATCAAGTTTTTACCTAGTATATTGGCTTTAAATATAGATTCATGAACAAAATAGATACATAATAAAATTAAAAAGACAAAAAATCATAAAAAGGTCTAGACCATAAATAAGTTAATATACTGAATTCTACATGCATGACATTTTTTGTTCAAAGACAATGGCTTTAATATCACAACTATTGTTCATTTGCATTGATGGGTACATATTATATATAACATGTATATTATACATGTAGTTATGTTAATTCGGTGAATTGTAATGAGAACAAATGCTAATCTACTACACAGAAAGTGTATATATTTGTATAAACAAACTTATTGTTAGAAAACCATTTATAATATACAACATTTCGTACATTCTCTCAGATCTGATTGGAGGCATCCTCGAAGATCCAGGGATAACACTCGCTTACGCTTTTTGCACCCCTTGAATATGTAAAGACAAAATTGATTAGTTTCAGGCAGAAAAAAAAAAGAAGAAAAATCATGTACTATAGGCCGATACTGGTTCTTTGAGGATCATAGAGGAGTGACGCCCAACTTCAAAGCCAGTCAATTTAACCTTTAGCTGTCACAGAATTGTTTAGTGTACATGTACATCCACAAGGTGGTGCACACTAGTACGGAGCCTTCAATTTTGTCCTGATATACATTTATGTATATGTATTTCAGAGGTGCAGAGAACGCAAGGGAGTGTAACCTCTAAAAGTTTGAGGTTGGTCAGAATAAACATTAAAATATTCTACAAAATAGACCAAGCACAACATATTGAGACAGTCAAATATAATTTACAGGTGTATGCTTCAACAATGGGCAAACAAGTAATTTGCATGTTTTTTTTTTAAATTGTCCAAGCACTGAAAAATAAAAACAAACATCCATAATACGATATAACCTAATAAAGCCTCATTAATGAAATTTTAACAAAAGTAATATATAAGACAGTTTTGATTAAGTACGTCATGACAGGTATTGTTTAATTAAGAAATGATACTGATCAGAATGTGTAGACCAATCGTGTTCAAGGAAATCTGCAACCTTATCAAATATATAAAATTAAGGAATCTGCTCTCTTTGTATATTTCCTAAACACTGTCATTACACAAGCACATCTCAAGGTAGCTACATTCATGTTATAGGGAAGGTTAAACTAGGTATTAGCTCATTCACCCATGGAGACACATTTGAACTCTTCCAATTCAAAGGTTGGAATAGTTCATTATGGAATTTCAGGGGCAAATGAGTTAATGAACACACAGGGGGGTACAATTAGTCCCACTAGCCCAGGCTTGTAGATTCTATGTTGGGGCTTGTACCAATTATTTTCAATATTAAAGATGAGAATAAAGGTTGGGCTAGTAGAACTTTTCAAAATAACCCTGAAGGCAAGTATTCTTAACATTAAATAATCTTTTAAATAATTAATAACTGAAATTTTTCAAACTGTGGTATGAAGCTTTATAATTATGGCATCCAATTTCTATTTACAGAGTATATAATTTGTATATTACTTGAAGTGTAGTCTATAAGTGGAAGAGATTAACATAATCTCCACGATTACAATAAAAAGCAACCTCTACATTATTTTCATGTGATGGCTAAAGTCTTAAAGCTAATATACATACATGTATTTTTTATTACAAATATTTCAGCCGATTTCGCATATCTGGTTCAATTGTTTCCACTACACAGTAATTTAACCTGAAGAGAAATAACAGGCAGAGTGTGGGACCAAGCTGACTTATCTAATTCAGTATGTGCATATCAAAGATTTCTAATATGCCTGGCTGAAACTAAAATGCTCATGACTGTCGCTACTTTGCAATTTTTCTATATAACACAAGGCCGATTCATACAGATACTTCAGGACATATTACAAGATTTAGCAATCATGGTTTATTGTTATTCATTTGTAACAAACCCCTGAAGTGTGCATATAAAGCTCTGCCTATCTAGTTGGCCGACTTCTTGTCTAATTGTGTTCATCCCTTCACCATGGAATGTCATTCTGTGCCTCACCTGGACCACGATTTCTACCAGGACACTCAAAAACAGTTACTGTACGTATACAAATATTTCTGTTCAATGGCACAACTTTTTCAAATGTCTCTGTGCAATACATTTGAGACTGTAAAATAAGTATGTATGTTTACATATACAAGCAGCCATCACTTGCTCATCTTGATCAGCAAACTGTCAAGTTAATCACCTTTAGAGGCAGTCACAACCAGTTTTTCTGCTATAAATTACCAAAATTAAGGTCAATATCTATCCTGGAATGATCAATCATTCAATTAGATAGCACATTTCAGAACTCAACTAACCAACTAACTAGTTCTAAAGAACATCAACAATAATCTGACAATACATAGCGAGTATCAATATAATGCAGTCACATACCAACCTAGAGTATATATACTAATCTACCCACAGATCTAAGGCCAGGAATCTCATATGTCTAGCTACAGGCACCTGCTGCTGCACAAGGACTTCAGTCAACACTTGACAATTAGCAATTTCAGGTATATCAAATAGAATTTGGCCTGAAACCTGGAGAGTAAAAGAAGACGTCAAACAGATGTTTCCTAACAAACCAGAGGGGTGAAAAAACTCATTTTTTGGAGAGTCGAAATGACACCCTCAAGGATCTACTGAAAGCCTTGCTAGCTCATGATTAGTAAATAGTCAGTTACATGTACAAGACATTATTATAGGCAGGAGCACACTTTCACTGTAATATATACTGCTAAATAGAATAAACTTATGCAGGCCTAAAATATTATTGAAGTCCTCTCATGTACATGACCAACTTCTTATCAAAACATGCTTAGCTGATACAATGATATTTTTCATAATTATACTTATCTTTTTACATTTGAATAGCGAATTATTGTTTCATTTTTAAGAACAATTTCCTCATAAACGTGTAGACAGTCGATTATCTTGATTCTTACATGCAGAAGTGGTCTGACTTTTAAATTCCTATATGAAGTGTTCTCACATAGTTAGTTACATATCATATACACTGTATATGCTAATATACTGAGTTGCGGTCACACTTGATTCTTGCACACATATATAGGTGGTCATACTTGATTCTTGCACACTAAATTTGTCACACTTAATTGTTGTAAATTAAAAAACGGTCAACCTTAATTATGATACACTAATTATGAAAGAAAAACAAGAGAACACACTTGCTAGTTAAGAACACAAAGGCAACAAAAACGACAAAATCTGGGATATCAACTAAGGAACCCATTAAAATAATCTCATTACCATGAACCTTTATATTAATCTATTGTGTGGCGCTCTAAACTATTATTACTTCTCATCAATTAACAGATACTTCAATTTCTTAAACAAGAATTCATAATGTGGTTTCATAATTGTCAGGGGAGACAATGCCAAAGTAGGGATCAACTTCCAAAGTTATTTCCCCTTCCTCTAAATTTTCACCATTGACGGACCCTTCCTTGTCACATTTTCCTGTCAGCTGATTGGCTTGTTTTGACTGCAGCACACACGTCACAATATCAGGCTGTGTAACCAGCTTGACACCGCCAACATTTGAAACATGCTTCTTTAAGTTTCTGTCCAGTGAACCACCATCTAATGTAATTGAAGACGGAAGCTGGATTTTCTTTTTCTCCAAAGTTCCGTCAACGGCTATAGATGAGTGACCTTGTACCTTTTTTTTCTCCAGTGACCCTGAGTGCTCCTTTTGTTTGCTGTCTATTGTTTTTATCATTTCGCCATCACGATCTTTCTCCCACACCACAGGCAACTTCTTTCCGAAAATTCTCACAAAACATCCTTGTGTGGTTGAATTTTCATCTCCTGTCTCTGTATCTTCATCATTTCCATCTTTTTCTTTATTCTTATTTGACTGATTTTCGGTAGAATCACTATCCGATGACTCTCCGTTAAGGTCACTTGGTCTGTTCTTTGAGTCATTCTTTGATTTTGTATTCAGAACCGACTCTTCTGATTTTTGATTTTCATTGTTGTCCTGTATTTCAGAACTGCCCTTCCTGCATGAAGATCTCTCATGATCCTCATTTGCATACGTTGTTTTAACATAGAGAACGTCACCTTGATTTTGATCCTTTGAAAGCTTTGCAGTTGTTTGGGTGACGGTGTTCTTGTCGTCAAGGTGAGCTGTGTTCTCGAGACCTTCCACTTCCTGTCGAATGTCTGTTGGAATATTCTGATGATGACAGTGTACCCATACCTCCACTTCCCGTGATGGGTCGTGTTCTGCTCCGCTCTCTGGTGACTCATCATTTGTAGAATTGTTGTCCATTTCATCGAAAACCGAACCAAAAATGGAACTGTTTTGACTTTGGGCATCCTCTGGAAAGAAAAAAATAAAAAATATTAAAAGTGAATAAGCTTTATTTTCAATAACATTCATCAGTTTGGAAATATGTAATATCAAAGTTTTACTTTATACACAAACAATGTACGTATCAAATGTGGCGCATCGTTTCAAAACCGACAGCAGGTCTCTTTGTCATAGCTTGACAATGGGACCAGTAAGTCTGAATTGTTTTGACATGTTTAATGCGCACATTGTTTGTGTATAAAGAGTAAAATTCTGATAATTCAATGAGTTTTTTATTAACTGCTGTAATTTGCTTGCAAATAACAATTGATGAATCTTCAAAATTCAGAGTCCCTCAAATGGTTTATTCCGTCTTTGCGTATTGCAGAGTTATCTTCTCTTGTGAGCAGGTATTGGTTGTTACGTCATTGGTTTGTGTGAGAAAATTACGTCGTTTTCTCACAAATTGATGACGTTACTCTCACAAACCAATGATGTAACAATCAATACCTGCTCACAAGAAAAGATAACGGAATAGTCAATGACATGGAAGAGCCTTGTTATCCAGTCAACTTCCTTCCCATCTGAATTTGAAGTGGTGAGATTGTACAATGCTACATTACTTTAATTTGACCATTTTTAATATAAAATGTTATTTATATAGTCTATCATGGGTAGCTAAAGGTATATGGGACATAGATATTCTACACAAGGATATAGAATCTGGACCAGAACTGAGGCTTGTCTATGTTCCGCCACCAAGTTCTACACCAGAGAGTTTAATTTCCATATACCTCAACCTTTACCACTTTTCTCCCGCTTCTTCACTGAAATTTTAGCAAAGCATATTGGCACAGACAAACATTTGCATCACAAGATTTAATTAATAAGACACAACTTTTAAATAATTTCTGTTACATAAAAATCTGTTTTATTACTTAGTAGAAATTTGAAGGTCAATATTCTGTGACTAACACAAAATTTTGAAATACTGTCCATCCAAAATATTTCTTTTCAGGAATCATGAGCCTTGAATATTTGTACATGTAAGAGAAAATCTTCACCTCGGCGTATGTTGCTGACTGTCAGCTGAGGTATCTCTGGAGGAGTCAGGAAGTGCCTGGATAAATTAATATGCCGGAATGTCCTTAACCGCTTACGGTACTTTCTTTGTTGGTGGTAGCGGTAGCCACGGTAAGCTGGAAACACTATGAAGCTGGTTCCCACCAGAATGGCTCCAGCAGCAACTAGAAGGCCTCCCAATAAAATTCCACCCAACACTTTAGCACCTGTACAGAAAAATTATGACATAAGATATCAATCACGTAATTGTTATTCATTTTTTAAACTACCATTTATTTCAATTAACATGTACATGTATTTTGTATCAAACAAGGGGAACTGCTTGTGGAAAAACTGATGGTGAACTAATCACAGATGCGACATCACACATGGGGACATGCATATTATAATTACTTGTGACATCACCGGTTCTCTCAGATGATATAAATTCTTTGAAATCCTCATATATATATATAGTACACCAGTTATCGGAGGTGACTTATATAAACATGCAGGGACACTGTTTAGAGGACAACAAGCATGTAATAGTAATCCAGGTAATTTACCACACAGGTAATCATAAGGTCATTTAATCCCTATTACCCAACTCTGAGCAAAGAACAGGCTGTATATATTATATACACATGTGCAAGCTAGGTTAAATTCCCCTATACATGTTCTGACACTGGTTATATATGATTACATAGCCTTATACACTTACCTCTTGATAGGATTACCAGTATATTGTATGCTAGGAAATGTTTGCTGTAGTTTAACTTTTGTCTTTTTCACCCTCATTATTGGGGGCAAATTTATCATAACAGCAAGTATTCATATACAGCATATTAATTCAAGTAATTGTGAGGACAAAATTAACTCACAACAAATATGGGTTTCATGCATCTGTGAAGTTGGAAAGTTGACTCGGTGAGGAATAAAACCGGATTCAAATTTAACAAAAAAATGGTTACTCAGTCAGAAGACCACATACCGGTTACCAAATCAATAACCGAACAGACAGACGATGTTTACCTAGCTTACACATACAAATTCTTTATTGATGAAACTGAATCAGATTTTTTGGCAATAAAACAATGCTCAGGTCGACCTGTCAGGGTGCTTTTTATGTATTTGATAGTAAGGATTGACAAAGAAATGAGGACCACACCATAAAAAGCCTGAACCTATATATTTCAAAAGGAAGCCAGAATGCAGAGTTGGGAAATGGAAAAATTGCTAAACATATAATGCATTTATGGAGTCAAATTCAGAACTTTTACATTACAAAGCCTACGTTTTTATCAATGTTGCTATAATTAACAATAATAATAATTATTATTATTTGAGGTTCTTATATACCGCTTTATCACAACCTAGTTTGTAAGTTGTCTCAAAGCGGTTCACAAACTATTATCCATGGTTATAGGGCCTTTGCAACCAGCCAATATCTCCCTGGGGAGCATATACAGCCTGTGCTGCCATTTTACTGCTCACAACTAGCATTCTACAAGTCTAGCACTGCCTAACCACATACTCATTTACAGCTGAGTGGACTGGAACAAGCGGTGTAAAGTATTTTGTTCAAAGATAAAACACAGTGCAGTGACATGACTCGAACCCGCAACCCTTCGGTCACGAGTTATTGTGAGGCAAAATTTTACGATGTACAAGTTTGAAGATTTACAGCGTATCACACATGTGTACACACATATATGTATGACTTCGCATTACCACTAGACTACCGTACCTCCTGGAATTCCTGCTATCTAACAATTATAACTGCAAATCACAGGGGAAGTTACTCTAATATAAGCCCAGGGGAAGTTACTCTAATATAAGCCAGACTATTTCTGTTTGGTTGCTTCATCTTCTATAAAATAGAAGGGAGAAAACTACCGGATTGGAACTCTTCTCTGCCAAAATAACTGATGTAATAGTACATGTCTGTTATTTATTACCTTATATTAATTACCATTATACTTAGAAACTGTTTTATTTGTTATATTATACATTACGTATACGTACCGAGTACCGAGCCCCGGATGAGTTTCCTTGCACAAGGCTCGTTAGGCAGCAAGTTGTATTTGCATCCGAAAGGGCTGAATTTCCCATGGTGGTCTCCTATGAGCTTGGTGACAATGCTAGTGGTGATGTATCGCTCACCACACCTGTAGCAAAAGCTTGTTCCACACTGTTTACATGTCATGTGGTCACAACCTCCCTTACGCTCAATGAAAACCTATACAAAGTACAAAGAATTTTGAGAGATGCATGTACCATATAACGCAAATTGGCCTCTTTTACACTCACTCCTCCCCCTAACCTCACCAACACACCTTCCTCACTCTCCAGTTGGATCAGCTGATCTCATTTCTATGACTTTTGTTTTCAAAAGGTTATGAAAGATTTCACCAAATTATGGTTGAAATTTTTCCTGGACATTGGGAAGGGATGTTACTTAAAGCAACTCAGCCAATTTGACTCCTTTAACCAGGCTCTCATATATCAGCTCCCAGGTGAGTCAGCCTCTTTGTCTGTTGAAAAATGTAATACCAATTGGCAAGCACCAAATTTCCTGAGCAATTTGGGACGATGTTTAATTTAAAAGCTGACAAACGATGGAACAACAACAAACCCCGGACAGGTGTCTTCACCCTTTTCCCCGTGTGAGATATCTTTGTCTTACCCTAGGGTTGAAATGGGGCGGGGGGATTCCCCTATTCCTAACAATTGTATGATGTCACATTAACAATGCATTAACGTCACCTCAACCCTGCATTTAGCCTTCTAATGTTAACGGTACACAATATACGTATGATACGTACGCGTATACACAATGAGTGAACATACACAGGGTAAGAGAAAAATAATCATTCACCCCATTGAGGTGAGTTTGGGAATTTCAACCTTTGGGAAAAGATGCTTAATTTGCCAAACACTCAGCATAGCCTCGTGTTTGGCAACTTAAGAAGCTTCACCTTCAGGCTGAGATTCCCCTATCTCATCCCCAAGGGGGTGAGAGATTCTATTAATCTTCACACAAAATAAAGAACAGGGAAATATTATCTGCCTACCTTACAACGAGGACACTTTTGAGCATTCAATTCTCGTCCTGTTGTTTTTATCCTCGCCCAAGATTTTAAGAGTTTGTCCCCTTTTTTGAAATCTTTACAAGTGACACCCTCATGTGCTGGGGCATGGCAAGAGAAGCACCACACAAGATCACATTTAGGACAAGTCACATTCGTACGAAAACCTTTGACCCTTTTTTTGGCAGCTCGAAGTTCCTCTTTGGTTATGTTCTGAATTGTGGAACACTGAGGGCAAGTTTTGACCATAGGATCTTGATTTGCATCTACGAGAAATTTGTAATATTTTTCCTTCATTTCCACTGATAATCTGGACAGGATTTCGTCCCTATGGACCAACGATTCACAGGGCCCAATACATTGGATAGTCACCCCACCATTATTGACTTTTTCTTCCACGTATTTTTCCATGCATGGTTCACAGACAGGGAAATCACAACATAAGCGTTTTCTGACACTAGTTCTTTCATAACAAACTTCACATTCAGTTCTTGTTATTAGATCTGCTCTCGGATACAGTGAGGAACTGGCTCTGTCCCTGCTTAAATCCATGCTCATGTTTTGCAGACGAAAATCAAGATCTCTTACATAAAGCCAATCGTCATCATTGTCCAGCTGTGGATAATTGAGATCTAGGGCTACATGTACATTAGGCATATTGGCATGGGTGTCAAGGTATGTATCATCATCGAATGGAGCAGCTATATGCATATCCATTAGATTTTCATAAAAATCTGCTGAGTCAGTAGATGTACTTTCTGCACTCCAGTTTAAATCACTCGCAAAATCTACCGGAGACCTCCGCTCAGGTACTGATCCAGCTCCCTCTGAAATGGTGAAAACTGATGGTTTAAACATGCAGGCATGTGGTCTAAACATGTAGGCGTGTCTTCTCTCGGTGTAAAGTTCTGTCAGAATCTTGCTTCCTGCTACTCCTCTCCTAGTTGACGTTGTAGTTGATGTCTCATCAGTATTTGATGCTTGCTGTTCCATAACTGCGGTTGTACTCCTGCTATTTTTCGGATTACCCTGCTGTTCCCTCACTGAGACTGCATCACTCCCACTTTTTGTGCTGGTTGCAATCTTCTGCTTCGATCCAGAAGATGATCTCTTGGTAACTTTGTAGTTTCTGCGATGTCTTTGAAGAGGATTCTGTATTTCCGTAAATTCACTGGGCTTATTTGCAGTTTTCTGGTATTGCCTGGCTAAAGACAGAAGTGTAGATTGCTCTTTGCCATTGACATCTGCTGTATATTGTTCTGCTAATTCTGATGTTCTGCCAGCAGAATTTTTTTCCATCAGCTGTACCTCTGTGGATGAAGATCCTGTCAAGTCTGTCAGTGAAGTACTAGCACAGGTCACAACCAGTGGTTTTCCACATTCTTGTCCGTTATCCGATAAATTTTGAAGACTTCCTGAAGATTTCTTAGTTTTTCTTTCCAGTTCGAGACTTGGTGAACTTTCAGGATCACTACTCTCCATATCTTGTTTGATATTATTCCTGCAACCAAAAACATGAAATATTAACAAAATACAGCAATGTTTAAAAGTAGATTTTTTTAATTTTTGGCCTACAGATCATGAAGCAATTTATAGTTACAACATATTCCAATTTGATTGTGGCTCAGTTTAACAGTGCCATATAGAAATCACCTATATACTTGTACATGGAGATATTGTAATTTTGTATCAGGCCAACTAAAAAATATTTGGTGTTTCCGGTAACCCTTATCTACCCAATTTTTTGTGCCTATCATTTATGTTGTATTGTTATCCGGCACTTATATTTTTTTTTATAATTTTTGTTGAGACGAAAAAAGACAGAAAATCTTAAAATATAGAAAAATTCAGCAACACACAAGACAAAAAGCAAACAAAGTTACAAAGTTGAAAAGTTCAGTCAAAGTGCTGAAAATCATATAAAACATCAAAACAACTTGTGGGAAGTACTGAAACATCTTAAATAAGAACGAAATCCTCCTGCATTGGAACCTTAGACTGGAATGGCTGGCTGACAGTGGCATTGGGAAGATTGAGTACCGAAATGTTTGTACCCCACAGATACTAGCCTCGTCTGTCAATACACCTAATACTATATATAAAATTAACCTGTGATGTAATGTAGTGTGTTCATCATTGATGTTAATACATGTATAATGCTATATATGTAGTGTTCATAAATAAATAAATATTGCTTTCCTCTGTACATGTATAGCCTATAAGTGCTGTGACAATGTTGAGACCAGGCCCATATTCATGAAACCATTCTCATGCTCAAGTATGCATTTTGTGCTCAAGCCTAATTTCTTGTTCTTGTTATAACTTAATAAATAAATCTTATTTTGTCAATGATTTGGACACATTTTGAAGAAACTTAAAGCCAAATACTGTTTTAAATGTTTACATTTGACTTTGTGATCGTTTGACATGATCTAACCGGTTGCAACAAAGATGGTTTGAGCACAGAATCCATGCTTGAGCATGAGAACGGTTTCATAAATACGGGCCCAGGGATATATACAATGTCATATAAAAAAAAAAAACTGTACAAGCCTTCAGGCAGTCGTTGAAAATTCTACTAGCCCAAACTATATTTTCAGAGAAGATTTTTTTTTTTTTTCTAGCCCTGGCATGAAATCTACTACTTGCAATTGTAATTACACAAGAGGGATGAATGCTATATAGCGGCTCTAGCTAGAAGATCTAGCTGGCCTCACAAATACAATGACACCATTGGAGATTGTTCGTACCAATTCAATTTCGCACCAAGGTACTAATGAATAATTTGCAATTTTCTGATTTATTAAATTAAATAATGATTAGTTATTTCCATATATCTATGAAGTTAGTATTTACCGTCCGTCCTGGTATATTGTTTTACCATGCTGATTTCCTGTTCTAAAGCAGGAAATAGCTATAAACAGTACCTAATAGCACTACTTGGTATATACAGTATACAATGTATGTGCTTTGTAATGTATTTCCTTACTGATCTCTATATCTCTCTGTGTCTCTTTCAAAGTTAGCCACATTAGAGTCAAAATTAATAGAGCTCCTATAAATATTTTATGTTGTGTTGTATAAAACTACCCTGACAAAAATTCCCTGGTACAAAATAAAATGCAGGTGTTACGAAAATGATTCCGTATGAAAATTCCTGTGACGAGTATTAGTTGTATATGGGCAGTAAATAGCAGAAGTGGGTTTCAGGATAAGAAGGCCTGGGTGGTCAGTTAACATTAGTTCTTAGAATTTTGAATATTTTTTTGTTTGTTCAAACTGATTACTCTGGTTAGTATATACTCCCAGGTACTTGGCTGCACAAGCTCATTTCATCCAAAACATTCCTGTGTATGGAATACAATCACACTCAATCTGTTTGTATTATAAATAATATGGCATGCGCATTGCCTAGAGATGAAAATCCCTTTCAATATGATTAGATACCTATCTTGATCTGTTTGTTAAGCTCCGGCCTGCACATATTTGACCAGTATATATAACACATATCGGTCTGAAAACAGTCGACAGCTGAAAATGAATATTGGGTATACTCTGACAGATCATTTATATGCCCACTTTAATATAATTTTAGGTCAACAAAATAATCTTAAACGAGTGCCAAGGTTTTTTTTCTTACAAGAGGCAAACTGCCAAGTAGTTTTTAAACTCAAACCCAAGTCCTGAGTGATGTGCAGCAATCTAAATGGTACTGTATGTGTACTTACATGTAAATAGTATTACTATATATTTATAATTATTTACAACAACAGCTGTTGGTAAATACAGATTTATTCAACCTACCTGTTCTTTCTGTTTTGGTTCAAGTCGACTACATGTGCCTTTCCTTGATATGTGCTAAGTTGAATTGTTATATGATTAGCCTTAAATATAGCTGTTACAGCTCTAATCTTTGTTAATTCCTTTGTAAAATTTATATAAATATATTTGAAGCGATGTCATTGTTTCAAATGTAATTAATATCTTACACGGAGTGAATTGAATCACGCTTTATCGATAAAACCTTTCCTGGATTTTTAATATGATCGAGTAACATAAATAATAAACATGGTTTCGCCTTCTTGTAAACAAAAACACAGACGTCATGCAGCTGGGATCAGATGATAGTGATATCGATTCCTAAAAATAGAACAGACAATAGTAACTTTTCTATCGACAATATAATAAAAAGGGAAAGTGAAACTCACCCGTCTAATAATACATGAGATAATCGTGTTGCCGATCCATACTGTGGTTAATTCGTTGATACATAAATGTAAACTCACGATGACTTTTTCCGTCGACAATCGCGAATAATGCCTTTCATTGTTTTTTTCTTTTGTACACCCTCTGAATTCTTTCTAGATTTTAGGTAATAAAAGCTGAGGAGTTCCGATGATAGTTTTATCACCTAGACGTTTGTCGTAAGCGATTGATTTGTTGTAGTTGAAAGTTTCCAATAGACTATGATCATCTATGATTGGCAGAACGGTAACCGGTTTTCTTTGCCGTTTCCGAATACTCTCTCGTCACATTATCCAGAGAAGTACAAATTACATCGGTATGAAGTTTCAAGGACCAGAGGCTCGACGTGACACAAGTGTTATCGATGACTACAATGGTACCAAGGTACGATGTACACGTAGGCATAAGCTTATACCACACCGTCCAAACATTTGACCCATATCACACATTACGGTCTGTCCACCTGTGGGAATGAGGCCGGTGACAGTGATCCCCCAAACAGTCGTTCACATACTCACAGATCGTGGATTGGGATCTCTGTCACTCCCTCTCAAGATAATTTTTTTTTTCCGGCCGTTTAAATTTCCTTCTAGTTTCACTTCAAATGAACGCGTAAATTTTCACTTTCATTTTAGTATTTGCCCGAAAATATTCATGCCCCAAACCATTTCTTCCCAATTTTTGTTCACATCGCCCCAGTTTACAGTTCATTCTGCCCCATATCGCCAAAAAATCCTTTTTACCTCAAAAAACGTTTTTTCCCAAAAGTTACATATGTATCATAGCCCGAGTTTCCTCTGGCTCTAGACACCAGACTTGGACATTTTGACAGGTTGATGTCTGGTGTGGAGCCAAAGCACACTGCTATATTAAAACGTGGTGTTCTCGGACACGGTATTGGAGAGTGTTGAGGTGCTGACAACAAGAATGGACCGACACAAGTCAACACATACCTCACACATATCGATAAACGGATTCTTCCTGAAGATCGAAGGAGGCATTCTTATATCGATAAACATGGTTTTCATTGAATCGTAAATCTTGTAATGCAATGAATGAATCCTCCTTAAGAGCGTCTTCAACCATCAACAAGTGTCTTCAATTGAGTGACAACAACCGTTGCCAGACAAAATCTTTAAAAATACTGAATAAAGTAAGCGACATCAGAAGATATGTTGTTAATATAAATATAAAACACCTCCATACCAAATTTCAATTTGTTATTTGAAAAATTGACTGAGTTTTACGATTGGCAGCGTGGCACACGTGTGTGAGTAGAACTCTAGAGATCGTGAAGCGTCTTCAGATTTTACTTCTGAAATAAACCTTTAAAGTTAGCGATATCAAAAGATATGTTATTCATATGACTAGGATACATCTGTGTACCAAACTTCCGCTAGATATTTGAAAAAAATGGCTGAGTTATGATGTATTGAATTTTTACGATCAGTGTGTGATCACGTGTGTAAATTAAGAAATCTACAGATAGTGAAGCATCTCCAAACTATACCTTTAAAATTAATCTTAAAAATTAGCGACATCGACAAGATATGTTATTCACATGACTATAACACACTTTTATACCAAAACTGAGTTAGATATTTGAAAAATTGACCCAGTTATTGTGAGGCAAAATTTTACGATGTACAAGTTTGAAGATTTACAGCATATCACACATTTGTACACACATATATGTATGACTTCGCATAGCTGAACACGGCCAGCCCAGATTAAATTGATGTGTTAACACGGGTATATCATTTTGTTTGTTTTATTATCGGGGGATGTTAAATTGGGTTTGTCTGTCTGTCACGCTGCGTTTCCGTAACTACAACTAATGTTAACCAATTTTCTACAATCTTGGTCACAGGGTTAAATGCCTTAAGGGCTTGGCCAAGTTCGATGACCACTTTCAGGGGACCCCATTTGGCAGAGTTATGACCCCTTAAGTAATGAAAAACATCATTAACTGCAGTGCTTCGTTTCCGTGCAATAACTACAATAAATATTAACCGTTTTTCTTCAAACTTGTTCACAGGGTTAAATGCCTTAAGGGCTCGACCAAGTTTGATGACCACTTTCAGCGGACCCCTTTAGGCGGAGTTATGGCCCCTTGAATAACGAAAACTGTCATTATCTGCTGCGCTTCATTTCCGTGCAATAACTACAACAAATGTTAACTGATTTTCTTCAAACTTAGTCACAGGGTTAAATGCATTAAGGGCTTGGCCAAGTACGATGACCATGCTCAGCCGATATACGTCTCTGGTTTGAAGCTTGATGATATGAAATGATTTTTAATTGTTGTTTTCCAATCTTTTCATAAAACAGTACATTCTGTGTTTGATCGTTGGTAAATTTGTTTTTGACCAATATGTCTCTATACGTGTTCTATACGACTCATCAATCTTCTATGGGATAGTGAAATAGTAATAAATTTTTATATGAAATATTCAACAAACCTGTATTTGCGTTATATTCTGTCATAGACTATGCATAAACGGCCCCTTTTAGGCCCAACATCTTCGTCAAAAAGTGACGAGAAACTCGAAAATAACGCACCCGTATCCACTTGACTGTTTACTACTACTGCTCAATAAAAAAAGGTTGATCGTAAAAATTCAATTCATCATAACTTGGTCAATTTTTCAAATATCAAATTGAAATTTGGTATAGAGGTGTATTATTGTCCTATAAACAACATATCTTCTGATGTCGCTTACTTTATTCTGCAATTTTTAAGATTTTGTCTGGCGGCGATTGTTGTCACTTGAAGACGCTTGTTGTTGGTTAAGATGCTTTTAAGGGTGACTGCAATGAACTTCTAATTTTCATCAATTTTAAACAGAATAAAATTAAAATAACTTACCATCAACCAAAACCAATATAAGACTGCACAAAAAAATTACAGATTCGATTCTATTATAACATTAACTAATAAAATAAATAACTTTATAAAATAACATGAATTGGTTTAAGCTGGCATATTGAAAAATCAAAAAAAGTGAGATTATAAAAAAAAATTGTTATGACAATTAATTTGACAATCAATTTTTATTTTTTTATACCAAATATAGATTTACTTTTAGTGTATTTGAGTTATCTTTCTTTGAACACTAAATCAAAATAGACACAAGGAGACATGACGGCTATTTCTGACGGGAGACATATATTTGTCAAATATTGTTTATTCTGATTATTTTAAAATACAGTTTTATGTTGCTTTAAATTTTTTGTTTCCATTAGTAGATTGTGTACATGTCTATGACAGTCATCTATAATTTCAACAGTTTTCTACCGACACGAGTACAAAATTGCGGCTGCTTCTTAAGTGTGCGAAAACAGATAACATGAAGATACATCGTCAAATACTATACCACCCATGGCCATAACACTATCAAACAATACATTTGGATATATTAAAACTGCATTCTTAGAACTATTACTGTATTTCCTTTTTACATATTATTTATTTATCATTTTTTTCTTACATATGCCCATTGTGTTTGTGCTTGAAATTAAGTCTCAATTAGTTTATTATCCTAAGGATACGGAATGAGACATGTCGATCAGCTAGCTCTTACGAAAGACAAGTGTCGTACTCATACCTTGGTGTTCAGTTTATTAGATATTCCTTGATTATTTAAATTCGATTCTAGAATAATAGCATTTAAACATTTAAACATTTGAAACAATAGCAGCAATACAAGTCTTCGAATGGCATTGTTTAATGACTAGACAGTCTCTATATATCTAAAAATAAAATACCATAACGTAGCTTTGCTAAAATGCTCTGGTTTGGTCTATTAATTGCCATGGCATAGAGGGTTCAGGAAAGTCTTCTTTTTTAAAACTTTCTACCATCTGATGAAACAAAAATAATAATTGAAAAACGTAAAAAAAAAGAGAAATTAAAAAAAAAAATGATAATTTATTTCACATTGAAAGAACGTAATTAAATTACTCTTTGAACATTGGTGCCTCCAAGGTGGTTTGGAGATTTTTTTTAGGTGTATGCATTTAAGTTCTTTGAATAATTTATCACAGACATGTCTCCAAAACAGCTATTCAAGGTAAATTCTGACTTATGTTTTTTTTTAAAATTTGCAGTTTACAGTTAGTTTTTATTTGTATGTCTTCCAATCCAATGTTACAGTCTATTACATATATATATGTAATATCCTATTATAGATAGCGGACCCTTACAAGTGGCTGGAGGACCCTGACTCGGAGGAAACCAAGGCATTTGTTGATGCCCAAAATGACCTGTCTAAACCATTCCTGGACCAGTGTCCTGTCAGGGAAAAACTCCATTCCAGGTAAAATTATCTGATTAAGACATGTACTTAGATTGGTGTCTTGTCAGGAAAAAAATCCACTCCAGGTAGATTATCTGATTAAGACATATACCTAGACTGGTGCCTTACCAGAGAAAACTTTGCTCCAGGTAAATTATCTGATTAAGACATGCACCCAGTTTGTTGTCTTACCAGGGAAAACTCCACTCCAGGTAAAATGATCTGATTAGGACATGTACATGTACCTAAAAAATGTTGTCTTGCCAGGGAAAACTCCACTCCAGGTAAAATGATCTGATTAGGACATGTACATGTACCTAAAAATAATGTTGTCTTGCCAGGGAAAACTTCACTCCAGGTAAGATGATCCATCTTACCATACCTAAACGGGTGTCTTGCCTGACCACATTACAAAAGGGAATATAAATGGGAAAAATGCAAAACTTCCAACATTGAAGTCTATACAAACAATACTACATGTAATTTGCATTTGTTCAGAGTATGTTTGCATTAAATATAAAAAAAGAAATGGAAAAAAGTTAGATTTTATATTGTATTTTCATTTCTCCATATGTGATGTTTAAAGTAACATTTGTTATGTTCCTGACAAGATTGAAAACTGTCGCTTTCATTGTCATAGAATACTGTCTGGCTGATATCTATAAGACTATTTCATAAAAGATCACCAAAGCATGACTGTTACTGTCTTAGGATGATCGTTTAATCACATACAATGTTACAAAGCTAGGTAACAGTAATCTGGATCTTATAATTAATCTTGGGATATTTGATAAGGACATCTCATTAAAACTTGTCCTGATAATATATAAGGATCACAAAATCAAAGATGATGCTTGCTTTGACATAGCAGGGTGTCTTGTTAGAAAACTAACCACAGTAAAGATCATATATTTTGTTATGTCAGTGAGTCGAGTGTCTTGTTAAGAAGAAATAAATTACAGCAACTAACAACAGCAAGAATCATCTTACTGGTACTTATATTACACATATTTTCTTATTCTGTCTTTTCGTATTGCAGAGTTATCTGCTCTAGTGAGCAGGTATTGATTGTGACGTCATTAGTTTGTGTGAGAAAATTACGGCGTTTTCTCAAAAATGTATGACGTTAGTCTCACAAACAAATGACGTAACAATCAATACCTGCTCACAAGAGCAGATAACTCTGCAATACGAAAAGACGGAATACAGTTTGGTTTGAAAACAAAACTTATGCTGTTATTCACAAATCAAACATGTGTTAGTACATTAACATTGTCTCCGTCAGGGAACGTCTATCAAATTTACTGATGCTATTGTTTTCTTTAAAGGATCAAAGAAATGTGGGATTATCCAAAGTTCAGCTGTCCTTACAAAAGGGGAGACAACTTTTACTACTACCACAACTCAGGGTTACAGAACCAGAGGTAAGACAGGTTGTATTCCTCTCTATGCCATAAAAAACACTTCATCGTGCTGCAGCCTCTGTAGCTGTGATTGTTGTACCCTTCCTAAACTCCTGGGGATACAATTACTTACGTATACGCTCTCTGCACTCCTAGAATATTTCATGACAAAATGAAAGGCTCAGTATGTGCCATCTTGTGTATAAGACAAGAAAACTAGTTCATTCCTTTGATATACAAGAGTCTTGCTTTATTTGAAAAAAAACCCCTCATTGTTTTAATAGGTAGTAATGACTAATGTATCATTTCAGCGTCATGTTTGTTCAAGACTCTGTAAAAGGAGAGCCCAGAGTTTTTCTCGACCCTAACGCTCTGTCTGAAGATGGAACAATTTCTCTCCGGGGTACCGCCTTCTCAGAAAAGGGAAAATACTTTGCGTATGGACTCAGTACAAGTGGATCTGATTGGATAACCATTAAGGTAAACTGGATCTGATTGGATAACCATAAAGGTAAAGTGGATCTGATAAGATAACCATTAAGGTAAAGTGGATCCGATTGGATAACCATTAAGGTAAACTGGATCTGATTGGATAACCAGTAAGGTAAAGTGGAACAGATTGGAAAAACATTAAGGTAAAGTGGATCTGATAAGATAACCATTAAGGTAAAGTGGGTCTGATTGGATAACCATTAAGGAAAAGTGGATCTGATTAGATAACCATTAAGGTGAAGTGGATCTGATTGGATAACCATAAAGGTAAAGTGGATCTGATTGGTTAACCATGTAGGTAAAAAAGCTGGGACTATAAACACTGTAAACATATACACTGTACCTATTTTAGTACTAAACCCCTGCAGGTTAGGAATTGAGAAGAGATAATACCTGCTGCTTGCACCTGCATGTTGTTAGAACCACCTAATGTGGTAGCCCCCTTTGCATATTTGGGAATTTGTCTATGTGCCCTGTACAATGAGCAAAATATATCTACTTCTTTTGTCCTCAGTGTTGAAAATTCGCGCAAGCAGAGAAGGAGAATGCAATGGGTTCTGTCTCCAAGCCAGAACACAACAAAGTCCATAAAAGTGGTAGTTGTTATTCCCTGCTAAAGAATTGGTTAAAAAGCTGTCAGTTTAGTGTGAACAGGTGGAATGCTGTGCTGGGTGCTTTCGGTACAGTATTTCATTGAGGTAGCGGTATAAAAGTTGGTCGTCTGTTGACGTAAAACCAATCAATCAATCAATCAATCAACCACGCTATTGCAAGGAGGCAAAACACCAACATTGTGCCCCCAGCACATGACACATACACACATGGGGGCATGCTGTTAAATGGCCTCAGCTGTAAATAAGATGTTAAACTGTATAAAACTTTAATCTTTTATTTTATTTAGGTATAAGTACTGCGTTAAAGTCGGACTGATCATGTTCACGTTCACAAGATTAATGTGCATAGATCGTACATAAGTCATTTTCAGACATTCAAAGAATATGTCAAAGCAAAATCAAAGGCTCAATGCACACGTGCACCACTTTGTTGATTCGACAAGAGACTAGTTTAATCCTCCGATGTACAAAAAAGAATATGCTAAAATTGACTGTCTTTGAAGTTGGGTGATGATCCTCTGTAATCTTAAAAGGACAAGTTTCTGCCTAGCGATTGGTCAGATTTCTTTTACCTGAGACCAATCATATAGCTAGCCGCTTATCTACAATTTTGCTATGACATATTCCAGGGGTGCAGAGAGCATAAGTGAAGTTAACCCCTGCAGTATTGAGGATGTATACATACAATTTGCAGTATTAATTTACACTATCATTTCATACTTTGGCAATTTATTTGCCTACAGGTAAAACTAACAGATGAATACATCATCATCACAATGCATTTATAAACTTTTAATATCTTGACAAAGTGGGGTCTGCGGTGGCCATGTGGTTAAGGCGTCTGACATTCTGCTACCACTAGGCTTCCACCACTGGGTCTCAGGTTCGAGGCCTAAGTGGGGCAGTCGCCAGGTACTGGCTGTAGGTCAGTGGTTTCTCTCCGGGAACTCCAGCTTTCCTCCACCACCTAAACCTGGCACGTCCCTAAATGACCATAGCTGTTAATATGGCGTAAAACACAAACAAACTAAACCAATCTTGACAAAGTCATCATGATATAGTTCATTATACACTGTTTTGTTTTCTTTGTTTGCAGTTTAAGGTTGCACCTAGTGCTGAAGTTCTACCAGATGTTTTGGAGAGGGTCAAGTTTTCCAGCATGGCTTGGACACATGATGAGAAAGGTCTCTTTTATAATGTAAGTGACATCCAGTAGAGGTTTTATACTGTAAGTGACATCCATTAGAGATTATAATGTAAGTGACATCCAGTAGAGGTTTTATAATGTAAGTGACATCCAGTAGAGGTTTTATAATGTAAGTAACATCCAGTAGAGGTTTTATGATGTAAGTGACATCCAGTAGAGGTTTTATAATGTAAGTGACATCCAGTAGAGGTTTTATGATGTAAGTGACATCCTGTAGAGGTTTTATAATGGAAGTGACATCCAGTAGAGGTTTTATAATGTAAGTCAGTGACATCCAGTAGAGGTTTTAAAATGTAAGTGACATCCAGTAGAGGTTTTATGATGTAAGTTACATCCTGTAGAGGTTTTATAATGTAAGTGACATCCAGTAGAGGTTTTATAATGTAAGTCAGTAACATCCAGTAGAGGTTTTATAATGTAATTGACATCCAGTAGAGGTTTTATGATGTAAGTGACATCCTGTAGAGGTTTTATAATGTAAGTGACATCCAGTAGAGGTTTTATAATGTAAGTCAGTGACATCCAGTAGAGGTTTTATAATGTAAGTCCGTGACATCCAGTAGAGGTTTTATAATGTAAGTGACATCCAGTAGAGGTTTTATAATGTAAGTGACATCCAGTAGAGGTTTTATAATGTAAGTGTCATCCAGTAGAGGTTATAATGTAACATCGAAGTTCTACATGTAAAAACAATAGGGGTCTGTTTGTGATGCATCCAACCATTTTGTCTATTTGTTAAAGGTGATATTTTTGAATTTTATCTATTTGGGTAAAACCTGACGGACCTGCAAAATGTTACTGTGGGTTTTGAACATTTTTGACTAGACTCGTCAGAAAGTAACATCATATCACTATACGTCTGCCCTATATCATAAATGAACAACTCTATAATTATAATTAACCGGTCCAATTGTTTGGAAAGCGACAAACGAAAGCGGCTATGTATGGTGAATTTCTTTTCAACATGATTACGGATCTTGATAACCTTCTACAGAATAAATTTGATATATGGTTTGTGTACTATAAAAGTGGAAATTGTCCTGGTGAGGAAATGTTCACATTTTTGCATTGATTAAATTTTAACATGAGAATATCTACATTTGAAAAATACATATGTGGATTAGATCGATTAAAAATATATCAAATATATAGAACCATTGCCAATGCGAACTTGTTCTCACTGCGATCAATTTACAGAGTTGCAATATGTTTATTTCCATGTGTGCTGCAGTATGATAACAGCAGTGCCAGAACATAATAACATTGTGAAATATCACGAATGGTTTGTATAGTCTCAATTTGATTACAGCGCTACCCAGAACAGGATGGTAAATCTGATGGGACTGAGACTACCTCCAACCTCCACCAGAAACTCTATTATCATAGGCTAGGAACCAACCAGTCAGAAGATGTGTTAGTGGCAGAATTCACAGACAATCCACAATGGATGATGTAAGCTTGTTTTATTAGCTCACCTGGCACGAAGTGCCAAGAGAGCTTATGCCGTGGTGCGGCGTCCGTCGTCAGGCCGTCCGGCGTCAATATTTTACTTTAAACGACTTCTTCTTAATAACCGAAAGCCTAGGGTGTCGATATTTGGTCAGAAGCAAACTGGGATAAAGGGCTATCAAGTTGTTCAAATGAATGACCTTCACCCATATTCAAGGTCACAGGGGTCAAATATGTGAAAAACATTAAACAACTTCTTCTCAATAACCAAAATGCACAGGGTTATGATATTTTGCCAGTAGCATGCTGAGATGAAGGGCTACAAAGTTTGTTCAAATGCATGACCATCAACCATATTCAAGGTCACAGGGGTCAAATATGTTAAAAACATTAAACAACTTCTTCTGAATAACCAAAATGCCCAGGGTGATGATATTTAGTCAGTAGCATACTAGGATCAAGGGCTACCAAGTTTGTTTAAATGTATGACCTTGAATCATATTCAAGGTCACAAGGAGCAAATATGTTCAAAATATTTAAACAACTTGTTCTGAATAACCAAAAGGCTCAGGATGTTGATATTTAGTCAGTAGCATGCTGGGATCAAGGACTACTATGTTTGTTAAAGTGAATGACTTTGACTTATATTCAAGGTCACAGGGGTCAAATTTGTTTAAAATCTTTAAACGACCTCTTCTGAATAACCATGGGTCCCAGGATGTGATACTTTGCAAGTTGCATCCTGAGATGAAAGGCTGTAAAATTTGTTCAACATAATGACTTTGTTCGACTTTCAATCACAGGGGTGAAATGTTTTAAAAAAATTAACAGGGTCTTTTGAATGAATTTTAATCATAAATACTGATATTTTGCCTGTAGCTTTATTTTAGATCACTTTTAAGGTTACAAGTATGAGATTTATACCAGGTGAGCGATGCAGGCCCATTGGGCCTCTTGTTGAAATACACATTTTGCCACAATTGCTAAATGCTAAAATACCCCAAAAACCTGATGAGTGACTGACTTTTGACAGTGATGTATTACCCCACCCCCCCAAAAAAGCTTTATTCAAATAAAAACAGACACATTAACTCAAAATCTTCCTTCTGAAGACAGATGATTTTACATTTGCTAATGGTGCTGTATAATGGGCCTAACATGTGTGTATAGGTATATCAAAGTGACTTTCTTCCCAAAACAAGCTTAGCTCATTCATCCCTGAAGACATATTTGAACTCTTCCAATTCAGAGGTTGGAATAGTTCATTATGAAATTGCAGGGGTGGATGAGTTGAATTTCCTCATCGATTAAATGTGGCATAGCTATTCTTTGTAGACCTGAAAGCTACTTTGTCTGCTCAAAAATATTCTGATTACATGTAGAATCATGTCATATATCTATGTAGTATACATGTACAGCAGACCTAAAGTCACCAATGTTTCGTTCACATTCTCACTTTCTGAGGTTTGTCCTGATGTTGTGTTAATTGTATTGTATGGCAGAAAGCACTGCATTGGCAGAGAGCATTAACTGTATTAATTGTGACATTACAATTGAAATTTGAACTGACTTCATAAAGTGAATATTAACCTTTCGTTTCTCAAAATAGTAACACAGTCAATATCACAAATCACTGACCTGTATTCACCTGGTCATGATCCAACCAATAAAGGTGTAGGAAAGAATGTGTCATTTTATATTATATTTATGAATTTTTCACAAACTTTTGAGAATGTTAAAATGTTGATTTGTGAGTTATTTTCTGTCTGCTCAGAGGCGCGGAGGTGACAGAATGTGGGCGTTACCTTGTGCTGGCGATATCTGAAGGCTGCGACCCTGTCAACAGACTGTACTATGTTGACCTTGAAGGCCTGAAGGACGGTATCAATGGACTCCTTCCTTATGTCAAGGTTGTAGACAACTTTGATGCTGAGTATGAGGTATGTTTTCTCAAATTCTCCTTGACGTAAAACATGAACTTTTTCAGAATTTTTGAAGATCACGCTTTCAACAACCTGACCTAGGATAAGTCTGGTGGTGTTATTGCATTCAAAATTAGATATTAGAAAACTTCCGTATGGAACAATCTTCCATCTAATGTTATGAGTTCAAGCACAGTTGAACAATTTGAATATAAATTTGATGAACACTGGCAAACCCAAGCGCAGAAATACAGTTTTAAAGAAAAAAAATGAAATCTAACCGTCACAACTTTTGAAAAATGTTTTTATCTAAAAAAAAAAACAACTTTTTTTTTCAGAGCTGAATGTCAAAGGATTCTAAAATCCTTATTTTGTTAGAATAAAGTTTGTGCTCTATCTGTCTATGTTATATCTATGTTATTTAGCTAATACACTGAGAATTGGTACAATTTTGTTTCATGATAAAATTTCATAAAGAGACATTCTCCCTTTCAGTACATCGTAAATGAAGGAACTGTTTTAACATTCAAGACAAACCTGAATGCTCCACGATACAAACTCATCAACATCGACTTGTCTCGGCCTGACATGGTAGGTACACCGACAACAACTCATGCGATCACCTCTATTAAGGGACCAACTGTGTTAAAAGACCTCTTTAAGTGTTCCACATTATAGTCATTTCTATGTGAACTGAACCTGTATTAAGAGACCACTTGTGTTAAGAGACTACATTTAAAACTTCCAATGAGTTGTCTCTGAATATAGGTTTTACTGTACATCTATAGTTGTCAGGTTTTTCGAAGAAAGTTTAACTCCAGTTGTGCTTATTGTTACAGCAAAGGATTGTATATTGCTTGCCCATGTCTATAATTCAAATTGAGCAATTGTTGTTGTCGTATTATCATCAAAATGGCTTGATTGCATGGTTCTGAAAACACCTTAACAAAGATATTTTACTTAACAAATATGTGTTTCTTAGACATAATTTTCCCTATCAAGAAAACAATCTTTGCACTAAGGAAATATCTTAAGCTAGGGAGCATTTAGTAAGCTGAGGCAGAACTTACTTTGTAATGTAACTTGTTAAGGACACTAATGCCTCTATGGTAAATGTCAAACCAAACCTTCACAAGGAGAACATATAAAGGGTGCTTCTTTCACTGTGAGTGTTATACGATAAACCAAATATATGGCCAGTAATAATTGAATGTAATTTAGTAGAGTCATTATTTTCCCTGGAGTTATGGCCCTTGGAACTTTAATTTTCTGCTCCAGAAGCCTTGTAAGTGCAACTCCTCCTTAGCTGTTTCTTGGAATATATGGTGACTTGGCACAGTTAAATAACATCATATATCATTGTGCATGAAGAAAGGAATTGGTGATTCGATTATTTTTCCTGGAGTTATGGCCCTTGGAACTTTAATTTTCTGCTCAAGAAGCCTTGTAAGTGCAACTCCTCCTTAGCTGTTTGTTGGATTATATGGTGACTTGGCACAGTTAAATTACATCATATATCATTGTGCATGAAGAAAGAAATTGGTGATTGGATTATTTTTCCTGGAGTTATGGCCCTTGGAACTCAATAATTTCTGCTCCAGAGACCTTGTAAGTGCAAGCGAGGGGTATATCTTCGTGACCTTGCTCACAGTTTCTGTAGTTAGGATATTTAGCAGTGTCTTTGAATTGATGTCACTCCGATGTTATTTTGAATCTCTTTTGTCATTTTTCTTCCCAAAAATTAATCAAGACAGTTTTCAAATATTGTTAGGTTTGATGCTAGAATCATGCTCTCAGGTTGGAAATTCCAGTTGCCAACAATCTGTCGAGTAAAAGTCTAAAAAGACTATTTTCTGCTCCTTGATTTATCCATGCTGAATGAATTATCTACAAGAGCCTCCGTAACACTATCGTATCATATATATGCCCCTCAAGGTCTTGAACACTTCTATCATGTCCCCCTATAGATATTATATTGGATAATAAATTCACTCAGTCTGATATAGATTGTAATAGATCGTAAATAGTCACTTTCTATATTAAATCGTTTGGTAATGTATTTTATTCCAGGAGCACTGGACGACCCTGGTGGAAGAGGACGAGAAGAGTGTTCTAGAGTGGACAGGCTGTGTGAACACCAATAAACTAGTCATGTGTTACCTGGAGGATGTCAAGGTATGGTCGCTTCACAAACTCAGTCATGAGAGACATTTCCCGTTTTTGACAATACCCATTTTAAGAAATAATCTCCTCCCTTAAGGATTATCTCCCTCTTATCTCTTCATTCAAAAAAATCTTTTTCAGTCTTCTGATTTTTAGACTGGACATCAGTTACAGATTTTCAAAATGATAAGTTTATTTATTTATGAATTTCAAATTTGTCCAAGATGCTAATTATTTTAAGTTTCAAACTGCATTTGACTAATATCAGTTTGCACAAGTTTTATCGTAGATGTATAAATGTTGCAGAATCGACTGTTCATCCACAACTTAAATACAGGTGCCAGAGAGGCCCAGCTTCCCTTGGATGTAGGCACAATAGCAGGCTACTCCGGCAAACGCAAGCATACTGAGGTACAATTTCTCCTGTCGCTTTGTTTGATTCTATTATTAGTACTACTGGAGGGATTTACAAAGTTTGCACTCTATCAGTCAGTCCATCTGTGTGTCATTCTGCCTGAAGCACCTTTACCTACAATTGTCAAATTTTGAATGCGAGTAACTCTTTGTTGCATAACAAAATGCACTAAGATTGGGTCTCATACTTTTGAAAACCATGCATCGCTTTTGTCGGGGGTATAACACATGTATATGTTAAACCTAAAACCACATACTTGTTCCTTGTGCATAGAAATGAACACAATAAGACACTGCTCTGACCATGCTAATACTTGTCAATCATAAAAAACATACCAAGTTACATATTTTGTATCTACGAATTCAGATAACAGGCCACTAGCAAAATATAGCAGTGTGCTGTGTTAGGCTGTAACGCCCCGGGAGAAATGTTTATTACTTTAATCAAAGTGTATTAGATAGCTAAGCATTCAACAGATATTTAACAACCCCTGGGTTTATTTTTCAGATATTTTACCAATTTGTGTCGTTCCTGACACCTGGCACAATCTTTTGCTGTGATGTGACATCAGATACATACAGTCCAGAGGTAAGACACTGTGACGTCATATATGTACAGTCCAGAGGTAAGACACTGTGACGTCATATATGTACAGTCCCCTGGTAAGACACTGTGACATCAGATACATACAGTCCAGAGGTAAGACACTGTGACGTCATATATGTACAGTCCAGAGGTAAGACACTGTGACGTCATATATGTAAAGTCCCCTGGTAAGACTGAAACTCATCTCATACTGAAAAAAATATTTACGCAAGACTAATTTTGCTGCTAGAAATCAGTAGATCAGAAGTATGCTTGAATTATTAGTTGTTTCATTCCTGGAGAAAGAAAATGTCTTTCTCTCTATACATATATATTGTACTACTATATAACATGAAATGTTCGTTGTGTATAAACTTTCGTTGTTTTCGTTGTTGCTATGGAACCACGAATATAAATACAACGAATATTTCCTCTACTCCACAGAATGTACACAATGAAAATGAAAATTTTATGAACTTTAAGTAATTGTATTTCTAAAATGTAAGCATTTTCGCGGCAAATTTACAATTCCAGATTCCATCAGACCGTGTTCATATTCTAGTTTATATACCGATTTTACATTTCCGTGTGATATTGACACAGTGATTCCTAAACTAATATTTGAAGATAATTGAACAATTCATTTAATATAACAGTTTGTTTTTACTACAATGGACATGTGTTGTCAATTTATTGTATAAATATAATTTATATCAGTTAATTAAGTATGTGACCAATCAAGTGAAACGGCAGGCCTAACAGGTGTCGAGAGAACAGGTCATTGTTTTCTTAGCATGGTTTCAACATTTCCACCGTTATTTTCATTGTTTGACATGAACAGAGAAGTATAATGAGTGTGACTCTTTGTCATTTTAAAACATACCGCAAAAGTGAACCAATGATTCTCGGAATGGTGGATATATTTTGTTGTAAGTGGATAACCACGAAAGTTTGTACCCATGAAATGATTTGAAAGCTCCAAACTACGAAAGAAAGTACACACAGACATTTCATGTTATACAATATGTAGTATCCTTAGAAAGGTATTGCCAATGTTTTGTGTTGTATAAATCATAAACATCCCAGCTTTCCTCTGCATTAACTCATACTTCTGATATTCTTTGCTGTAGATTTTTATGGGAAGGTGGGACACCTTTAACACTACTTCCTTTGAAATGATTTTAATCCAAATCAAATGTCCAATTATCACTGAAAAGGAAAATAGAAAATAATTTATTGAAAGATTTTCAAGGCACCATGAGTTTGAATAAATCTGACAGTGTTACATGTAATAATCAAGATGTTTAATTTCTTCACCATTCTCAGAGTTTTTAAATTATTTATTTTTGTAGATTTTCAGAAATATTGAAGTGAAAGGATTTGATTTTAGTCTCTTTGAAACTAAGCAAATATTCTACAGCAGTAAGGATGGAACAAAGATCCCCATGTTTATTATACACAGAAAGGTAAGTGTGAATGATTCTGATCAATCATATAAGCTGGTGTTATTTGAAAGCTTCATCGTAAACTAAAGTTTATTACTGTATACCGGTATTGTTTACCCTCCCCTGGTATAATCCAGATCTGCCAAGAATTAGCTCCGTCCATCATTTGCAGTGAAAATATAAAGTATGTTGCGTATGAAAATATTTGCTGTCAAGATAAATTTGCCCTCAATATGTCAAAAGTTAAATTGTGTTGAAATTTCACGATATACAGTATTGTAACATGCGAGCGGTCACCCATCTAACTACTGACCACGCTCGACATTGCTGAACTAGTGAGCGGGTCCCCGGGTTATACCGCATCACTGGAAAAGCTCGCTTGCCAATAAGGCAGTCTTTCCCCCTTATATTCCTTAGCTGTTACACTATTCCCTCTCCGAGAAGTCTCGTCCCGAGACTTGGCCTGGGGAATCTCGTAAGTCCTCCCTGTGTATCAATGCACCTTCCCTAACCACCGGAACTGGCCTTACTTGACCACATTGCTGAACTAGTGAGCGGGTTCCAGGGTAATACTGCATCACTGGAAAAACTAGCTTGCCAGTAAGGCAGTCTTTCCCCCTCATATTCCTTAGCTGTTACAGTATATTTGAAACATTGTATAAAATGTGATATCGTGTTAACTCGTCAGGGCCTGGAGATGGACGGTAACAACCCTGTGATGCTGTATGGTTACGGGGGATTCAACATCTCCATCTCACCTAGTTTCTCTGTATCCCGACTAGCCTTTATACAACACATGGGAGGCGTGTACGCTGTGGCCAACATCAGGGGCGGCGGGTAGGTAGTGGGTGTTTGTATTTTAAGTCAGAGCTCTCTGTGACCGACACTTGTATAAATATATAACATGCTGAGGCGGACATTTCATGCTTAATACACCTTGTATGCAGAGGCCAACATCTATTTAACTACTGTATGCTAGCCTATGAATTAACCATGAATCACAAACCATAAAAATAATCAATGGAAATGCCATGAAAAACCTATGAAAACAGACAATGGAAAACTCATGAAAAGGAACCTTGGATCTTTTGTGTACTCGTATGTAAGATGTGTGGTAATATTTTACATTTAATTTAACAGGGAATACGGAGAAACTTGGCACAAAGGGAAGGTAACCAGATGTATAGTATTAATATTTTACATTTAATTTAACAGGGAATACGGAGAAACTTGGCACACAGGGAAGGTAACCAGATGTATAGTATTAATATTTTACATTTAATTTAACAGAGAATACGGAGAAACATGGCACAAAGGTGGAATGTTGGGGAACAAACAAAATGTGTTTGATGATTTCACATCAGCAGCAGAGTACCTGGTGGAAAACAAATACACACGTCCCAGTCGCATCGGCATAAATGGTGGATCTAACGGGGGTCTTCTAGTGGGGGCGTGTTGTAACCAGCGACCAGAACTGTTCGGATGTGTCATAGCACAAGTTGGGTAGGTTTAAATCCCTAACTATAAGGTATCAGATGGTGTTTTTGTATTTTATACAATTGCAAAGATGTATGTTGGGTAGGTTTTAAACTGTAAACACTAGGTGTGAGAGTGGGATTGTATTGTTAACAAAGACGTATGTTGGGTAGGTTTTAAACTGTAAACACTAGGTGTGAGAGTGGGATTGTATTGTTAACAAAGATGTATGTTGGGTAGGTTCTGTAGACACTAGGTGGGAGAGTGGGATTGTATTGTTAACAAAGACGTATGTTGGGTAGGTTTTAAACTGTAAACACTAGGTGTGAGAGTGGGATTGTATTGTTAACAAAGATGTATGTTGGGGAGGTTTTAATCTGTAGACACTAGGTGTGAGAGTGGGATTGTATTGTTAACAAAGATGGATGTTGGGTAGGTTTTAATCTGTAAACACTAGGTGTGATAGTGGGATTGTATTGTTAACAAAGACGTATGTTGGGTAGGTTTTAAACTGTAAACACTAGGTGTGAGAGTGGGATTGTATTGTTAACAAAGATGGATGTTGGGTAGGTTTTAATCTGTAAACACTAGGTGTGATAGTGGGATTTTATTGTTAACAAAGACGTATGTTGGGTAGGTTCTGTTAACACTAGGTGTGAGAGTGGGATTGTATTGTTAACAAAGATGGATGTTGGGTAGGTTTTAATCTGTAAACACTAGGTGTGATAGTGGGATTGTATTGTTAACAAAGACGTATGTTGGGTAGGTTCTGTTAACACTAGGTGTGAGAGTGGGATTGTATTGTTAACAAAGATGGATGTTGGGTAGGTTTTAATCTGTAAACACTAGGTGTGATAGTGGGATTTTATTGTTAACAAAGACGTATGTTGGGTAGGTTTTAATCTGTAAACACTAGGTGTGAGAGTGGGATTGTATTGTTAACAAAGACGTATGTTGGGTAGGTTTTAATCTGTAAACACTAGGTGTGATAGTGGGATTGTATTGTTAACAAAGACGTATGTTGGGTAGGTTTTAAACTGTAAACACTAGGTGTGAGAGTGGGATAGTATTGTTAGCTCACCGGGTCCGAAGGACCAAGGTGAGGTTATGCTATACCGTGGCGTCCGTCGGCTGGCCGGCCGGCCGGCCGTCGTTTGTCTGTCAACAATTTCTTTAAACGACTTATTCTTGTTAACCACTGATTGGAATTTAACTAAATTTGACAGGAAGTATCCCTAGGTAGTGGGGATTCAAAATTGTACAAATGGTGTGGCTGACCCCCGTGGGGGCTGAGGGGCGCGGCCAAAAAGGGTTATTTAGCTATATTGCTTTAAGCAACTTCTTCTCTGGAAATAGAGATAGATATCAACCATACTTGACTGGAGGCATTTCTATGTGGTGGAGATTCAAAATTGTACAAATGGTGGGGCTGACCCCCCGGAGGGCAATTTGGCTATATTGCTATAAACGACTTCTTCCGTAGAACTATACCATGGATATTGATCATATTTGGTCGGAAGCATTCATGGGAGGCAGGGATTCAAAATTGTACAAGTGGTGGGGCTGACCCCCCGGGCTAAGGGGTGGGGCCAAAAAAAATATATAACTTGGAAATTGTTGAGATCCCCACCATATAGCCATATATACAATTGCTGAGTATAAAGAGAGGAATGCACATTTGCTTCCAGGATGGCCCTAGGGTCTGGCCTCACCCTTGGAGACTTAACCCCTGGGTCATAACTTTGAAACGGTTAAGATCCCCACCCCAAAACTATATATACAATTGTTGGGCATAAAGAGACGAATGCAGTCATGATATTAGAATTGACCCCAGGGTCTGCCCCACCCTTGCAGACATAACCCCTGGGTCATAACTTTGAACGATTGAGATCCCCACCCCAAAACTATATATACAAATGCTGGGCAAAAAGGGACAAATGCAGTCATGATATTAGAATTGATCCTGGGGTCTGGCCACAACCCTAGGGACCTAGTTTCTGAGTCACAGCTTGGAAACAATTGAGATTCCCACCCCATAAACATACATAAAATTGCTGGGCATAAAAAAACAAATACAGATATGCTACAAGGATTGACCTTGGGGTCTGGCATATTCCCTTGGATCTCATTTGGAGAATATTTTGCCATGATTGCTTAGATATCCAGGTGAGCGATACAGGCCCTCTGGGCCTCTTGTTAACAAAGATGTATGTTGGGTAGGTTCTGTAGACACTAGGTGTGAGAGTGGGATTGTATTGTTAACAAAGATGTATGTTGGGTAGGTTTTAATCTGTAGACACTAGGTGTGAGAGTGGGATTGTATTGTTAACAAAGACGTATGTTGGGTAGGTTTTAATCTGTAGACACTAGGTGTGAGAGTGGGATTGTATTGTTAACAAAGATGTATGTTGGGTAGGTTCTGTAGACACTAGGTGTGAGAGTGGGATTGTATTGTTAACAAAGATGCAATTGCTGGTTTGATAGACCTTGATAAGTCACTATTGGATATCTGAAAGTGAATGTGTTTGTTGTAGCCAATGACTACAATTACAGCAACTATAAATAAATGTCTTCGATTTTTTCCCATATAGGATGTACACTAATATATTGATTTAGGTCTGCTGACTTTCACCTCTAGGTCAAAGGTTAAATCTACCTAAACAAGTTTGACGTATGATACTTTAGTCATCGATTTTGTGGACAACTCGTACACATTTTACACCTTTGTGTGCATATGCTTCATTGCATTGGTCATTTGTCTAATGAAAGTGACAGTGTACATATCGTACTAGTCATCGAAACGTCACATAGAAATTTTTATTGGTTGTGTAAAAAGAACTTCTTATAATCCATACTTACCAACCTGAAGAAAATGTTTAGAAACATACTTTAGTCACTTTTTGCAAGTGGCTTCACTGGGGCTTGATCCTATGGCAACATTTAAATACATGTATACATGTACCAGGAAACTTTGACCCAGTCAGATTTTTTGCCCTTGCTGTTGAAATTCATATTTTCCCAGTATTAATTTCACCCATCACATGTACGTACTATAGATAATATTGTTCAGTAGTAATTGCTGTAATGATAATCTCACCCTCATTACGGAGGGCAAAAACGGCGTAAGTTCACCTGCAGTGAAAATTTCACAGCATACAGTGAGCTAGAGGTGTACAGCACCATCAGTAACAAACAACGGAATCATGTTCACCATTGTGTAAGAATATATTTCATGATATTTTCTCTCCCGTAGAGTGATGGACATGCTGAAGTTCCACAAGTTCACCATAGGTCATGCATGGACGACAGACTTTGGATGTGCTGACAAGCCAGAGGAGTTCAAGTGGCTCATCAAGTGAGAGCAATAGAATCTATCATTCCTGTTAAAAGCACACAATTCAGTATGCCAAGAGACTTTCACAATATCCCACATTTGTCCTTTACCATCTTTCCTATTCGTCCGGTGTCATTTTTTGCCCCTCACAAATAGGTGAGGTCCATGCCAGTATCCATTAGCCAGAGAAGCGCTGTTATTTTGCTCGATGTTAACTTCAGAATATCAGATTTGTTAAATTGTGAAAAACAGTGATGTTAAGTTATATGATCAAATGGATCAAACATTAATTGGTTACAACACAAAATTGCTAAAATGAGAAACTCACACCGAGTAGATGTAAGTTTATGTGACCAATTTCTCTTCGTGATTTCTAGATACTCTCCTCTCCACAACATCAGAGTGCCGGACGGTGATGCCCAGTACCCATCCGTCCTTCTCCTTACAGCTGACCATGATGATCGTGTTGTGCCGCTACACTCTCTGAAGTTCATCGCTGAGCTCCAACATGTCATGAGATCATGTGATAAACAGGTCTGTTTTGGATTTTTATTTCAATTTATAAAACTGACATGATTACATTTGAGGTTTAAACAAGAGATGAACATCTCCTGATATTTTTTTTTTTACTTTTATTTATTTTGCTTGTAACAGTACGATCATTATGCCATTTTGCATGGTAATGTCACTAGTGTTCCTGATTATTGATATTTGTTTGACAATGTGACACTTAATATTGGCGTGTAAACAAGAATTGTAAATATCATATAGCAGCATGTCAGAAGAAACTGTACCATTCATTACATATATAGGTACACATCATGCCGGTGTCATATGAAAAATGCATTACTTATAAAATACCTATCTACCCCAATAAGAAACTTTATTTCCTTTACTGTGGTATTGAAATTGACCCATCTCCTGTGTACTATAACCATATAAAGAGAGAGTTTCCAAAACAAGTGATAGATGGTTATCCTGTTTATCTAACTCAAGTTAGTTAATCTTCAAATTGTATATAGACGAGAGGTTTTCACAGTTTGAAAATTAACTAATGAGAGTTAGACAAATGTGATAACTAATCAATAAAATACCTATATACCCACATAAAATACCTATATACCCCGATAAAATACCTATATACCCCAATAAAATACCTATATACCCCGATAAAATACCTATGTATCCCCATAAAATACCTATTTATACCCATAAAATACCTATATACCCCCATAAAATACCTGCATGTATGTACCCCCATAAAATACCTATAAACATGTATCCCCATATAAAAATACTGATCTACCCCTATTACACCTGTACCTGAGTATGTCTTTCTACCCTAAATACCTACAACTCTTTAACATCTGTTGAACAAAGGGTTGGCTTGGCTTATTGATCACGAGAATTGGTTTATTACCAGTGAATATTTACTCTATGTTGTGTTGATAAATGTTGTAGACTAACCCACTGATGATCCGTGTAGACACAAAAGCAGGACACGGAGCAGGCAAGCCTACTGCTAAAGTGGTAAGTGTGTGGAAGGAGCTGCCATTTTATTTTAAATTTATTTCAAGGATCCTAGTACCACTGCACAAAACTGGTTTTTATTTTACTATTTGTTATTTTTTTTTATTCTTGTATGACTATAGCTTTGATACATTATTTCTGAAAATAAAATCTCAATGAAAAAATAATTATTTAAGATTGAGTAAACAAGATTTTTTTTCTTGGATTAGATTTCCACTCGGGCGATCCACATTCATTTTAAATTCATGAAAAAGTTCTCAAACATATCTCGAGTAAAAATGTAATGACATCTTTGTTACAGATTGAGGAAATAGCAGATGTGTATAGCTTTGTATACCAGACAATGGACCTGCAGTGGAGAGATTAAGGGGAGGCAACTCATTATCAACCTGCCTTATCTACATAAGTCTTGAACCACGTACTGGGCCTGGAGTGGAAAGATTAAGAGGCGATACCATATTATCAAACTGCCTTATCTAAATAAATCTTGAAGACCCAGATGAGGGATGCGAGTGGAGAGTACAGGGAGACAACTCATCATCAGCATGTACCTTCTTAATAGACTCGGGCTTTATATGACAAGATTTATTTCCTTAAGGAATTCAAAGATTTTTACACTTAATGACTACTTTTGCAGCCATCTTGGACTTTTCTTCATTTCATGAGATAGGACATTATGATTTTTGTTTTATTATGTATTTTGTCAGAATACATCTGTGTGATTGTTTGTCAAGTGTCCCATCAACATCTACATAAAATAAAACTACTCAGAATAGTATCAGCCCTGTATGCATGGATTTAACAGTATAACCAGTACAAACAGCTCAAACAGTGCTATGACAAGGGGAAGCAACTTTTGTAGTGATAGCGAACTAACCCCACTGGGACCAATAGATCTGTCAATAGTAAACACGTTTTTATCTAGATAACACTGGTTCTTTTAACATATCATGATGTAGTTTTTCAGGATTTTGTTTTTATTAGTGTCCAATATTTTCAAATTGGGAACAAAAACATATTTATATTGCTTTCAGTTCACCCATTGCTGTACGCAGTATAACTACTAAATATTCATGACAAACAGCCAAACTTTACATATACTTCCATCATTACAGTTCTCAGGCTAGGTTTGAAGATGTCTCATTTCAGTAAGTATGTAGTAACTTTTGTAATCGATACATGAATCTGTAGTGTATGTCAATGATCCTGATCCAGTTCTGAACATCGGTGCACAGGTGATACACAAGTTTTTTTGCGTCAAGAGTGCATGTGTACATTGTAGTTTGAAACTATTGGAGAGTAAACATAAAACAAGGGTAACAGTGTATGAAATGTTCACTGTATAACATATAAGTGTGATTAATAGATATTTTTGTATTTCTTCTTTGTTTATGAGTTTTTCATTATGTATATGCACTGTTTTTATTCCAGTCAACAAACCTCTGTAAATAAAACATTTCTACAAATTGAAGTATTTTAGATTTTATTTTTGTATCACAAGAAAACCAGTAAAGTGAAGAACACTTCATTTCCGTGAATACTCTTAGGTCCCCTCCCCCCTATAACAAAGTTTGGAAGGACATCTTTTCTACCCCTTTTCTTATCATTTGTTCCCAAAATGAACTTTAGAGGACATGTTGTTTTTGGTCCATTTGTTATTATTCTTTCTTCCCCTCAATCTGCAGTAGCCCATTTTCAGAGATGACAAGGCAGAATGTAAAGAAATTCCATGTGAACATCATTGAACCAGCTGATTGGTTGAAATAAAGATGTCTGATTTTCTTCAAATTTGGTATATAGATGAATTATTTCAAATTATGCAAAGACTATCATTACTTCAATTTTAATGATATGACAAGATGACCAGTTTCCTGGCTTTCTGATTGGTTGGAATTCAGCTAAGTCCAATATTGACGGATCATACATCTGTAATGGTCCCCATCACAACAAGGACTTTTTTTGGCAGTTGATTCAAACAACTCAATGTCAAGGATTTGAACTTGTGAGGGAAACAAAAGAAAACAAGTCCTTGTTTCATGAACCTAGCTGTCAAGGATTTGCATCGCCAGCTCGTGCAATAAATAGAAATCTCTAAAAGTATGAGTGATTTGCATGACTCTGATTTACAGAAAGGACAACACCAGAAGACGTTTATAAACCCAGTTTAATACAAAAATATGCAGTGTTTCAACAGGGAACAAAATAAAAAATAAGTCTTCCCTTATGTGACAAATACAATCAGAAACTTAGAAATGAGTGTAACCTTTTACCTCTATTCTCTTTTCTAACTAACAGGAGAATAACATCTTGCGATTATATAGCAGAACCAGAGATGTACCGACTAGTCATGAACTGTCACCATTTGTAACGTTTTCATGTTTGATAAGGAAGACGGAGCAGCAACATCTAGATTACGTTCTTTGTTAATGGTTAATCTTTTCAATGGCTAAGCCAGTTATCATCAGAGCCACATAACCAGCTGAAACCTTTAAACTGTAAGTAATCTATGGAGTCTAGATGTTGTTACCCCATCCTTCTTATTATCTGTGTTTACTTTCCATTTGGTATCCATCGTAGGTTCCTACTACCATCTACTGACGACCTAAGACATATTTTCCGCAGCGCTGGTTCTCTTCTCCACTTGTGTACACATTTTTTTTTATGTTTATAGCATTTTACCTTTTTTGTCCCAAGCAATTATCAAAAGGTTAAAAAGGAATTTACTTCTGATCTCGTTATATCAATGAAAAATTCACAAAAAGAGGTTTTGATTACAGGAACACTTACGTGAAGTATGTACCGGTGCAGAGAGGTTAAGGGTCGTAATATAATATCTAAAATAATAAACAAACAAAACAAGGTTAAATTCAGCTGGATATGGTAGTTTGCTTAAAACCCTAAAAATAGTCATTCCACACAACAACAAAAAGTGGTTACACCAGATATATATATACAAAATGTACAGAATCAATGTGAAGATTTAAAATAGAACACTAACCAGCACAAATATACTCAAGTACGTATGTATACTACAATACAAAGATGTACTGACAAATGAGCACAATCCTATATACTTGAGTACCATAAGAGCTGTACTAACGAGCACGACCTTGTACTCAAGTACCACAAGAGCTGTACTAACGAGTACCACAAGAGCTGTACTAACGAGTACCACAAGAGCTTTATCGTGCGACAACAATCCTATACTATGAACGACAATACAATAATTGTACATAAAATACACAAAATAATTCTTATAATAAAAGGAAACTTTTTGTGTAATAAAACACCTCATACAAAATGTTAATACAAAGTAGTGTTACAAAAAGTATGCTAGGACATCAATAATTCTATGAAATGTGAATCCCTGTTTACTGCTGGTTTATTTCATCACCCAAAGCCCTTACTTCATTTGGATAACTTCACAAAGGGGAATAATCCTGTGGGATGCAACATCACATCGTTTTCATGTTATGGAAGAGATAAAATATCAAAAAAAATAATGATTATGATTTTATTTTTGATATTCAGTAAAACCTCAATATAATACTCCTCATTTCATCTGACATCTTGCTTAATATTAAAGAATTCTTTACAAATTTTATCTATTTATAGCAAAACCCCATTTTAATGCCACTATTTTCTGGGCCCTTAATTTTCTTGTATCCGGTTCAACTGGTTTGTCTGTTTTTAAATGTAACATTTTCGTATATATATCCTGGCAGACCTGCAAAGGTTTATGCAGGCCTTGGTCCGACCTTATAAACGAATAATTCTGGTACAACTGTTTGGATAAACGAATGCGGCCTTGGAAAATAGTGGCATTATAAAGCGGTTTTACTGCATTCTTCTAAATTTGTTCTCAAATATGACCTACTTAATTGTGATAATCGTTCCTGATGAATATAAAATAATTAAGGAATCAATCACTACTTGTTACATATCGCCCCTTTACATCAAACATACATAAGAAATTTAAGATAATAGCGAAATCTCATTAAAACCTCCAGTGTACAAAAAAGCTAAATGACATTTGATGAGGAGTATTTATCAGTCACTAAAAGACTTATATTAGATATTACTGCTGGTCTCATAACTTCTCACAAGGAATTTGATATCATATGTGCTGCCTATCATATTAAAACCAGTACTTTTTCTAATCCACATTTATATGATATTTTTCTTTTTTCTGTATTTTCCTCAAAAGGAATGTTGACCTGGGCCCAGTTGTTCAAAAGGTGATTAGCTTAATCACTGTTTAACGATATTTTTCAACCTTTAATAATTGTGTCAATAAACAAGATACAATCTCATAATTTTGCATGTAAATTCACTCTACTAAATAGATGATATCTGTAAAGTTGTACCTAATTCAGTAGTTTTGTTTTGAAGTAACATAAAAATTAAAATTTGCGCTAATCACCGTTTGAACAACTGGGCCCAGGTGGGTTTTCTCTGCAGCTATGGGGACTCGGGTTTCCCTCTACATTTAGACCCGCGTCACTCCTATGGGATTCCACTGGTGCCACAAAGTGATAGATATAGTGAGTTAACTTGGACCTAAATTCGGTGATTTGACAAAATTTTGGATGTCGGAAAATGTTAGAATTTAGAATATGAATAACCAGATTAATTTCATATTTGCGGACATATATATCGTGGTTTTACAACAAAATATTTGTTTCACAAGTGATGCTCCAAGTCACCAGTAAACTCAAACTGTGACAGTAAAACCACCAATACGTCTGTCAAAAATCTGAAATACAAGATTATTCCCTAATTTAAGATAAACATACTTAACTAAGTGTTTTACTAGTAATTGTGGGTCTTTTATACATTAGGGCATTAGGGTGTCACCGACTTCCTCAAAGTTCTTATAACTAGTTACATATTACTGGGTAAGTTAGCTGTTATAATTATATGTTGTATAATTCATATAGTTGACACCACTTTTTGGGAGTATACAAGATATGGCAGTTTTACTAAAATGACAAATACATGTAGCAAGCGTCCTCCGAAATCATGAAAAATAATGATATATATTTATGTCCTTATTTCTCAATCAAACAGCTGTGGTCTAAGCACTCCCCGTTTACTTCAATGATAATATGAAGTAAATGACAATTTTACTGCCATCTGCTATATATATATCCCCGATTCACATTCCCCCACCACCATTGCACTAACACTTGCCTTACAGACCTGTGCACACTGAAACTCACTGCATCTTATACAATGTCTGCTCGTCATTGCACTTCACTCCGACATAACAACAGGAAATCTACTCTTCATTCCTGATCTATTAATGTCAAAAGAGACTAAGCAAATCCTAGATTTCAAATTATGAACAGAGGGCATCCCAATAACAGTATTAAATACAGTAGGTAGATTTGCTAACATTTTTACAGAAGAGGAGAAAGTGATAATGATGAGTTGGGCATTTCATTGGTAATTCAAATGAGGTTATGACTAACATATTGCTATGAGATATGTTGTTATAACATCGTATGTTATGACAACACATGCTGCTAATGACATCATATGTTGCTGTTACATCACATGCCTGCTATGATTATATATTACTGTGATGTTGTTTGTTGCTATGACATCATGTGTTGCTATGACATCATATGTTGCCATGATATCATGTGTTGCTATGACATCATATGTTGCCATGACATCATGTGTTGCTATGTTTAACATGTCACTGTGACATCATATATCTATATGGCACATCTAGCTATATAAAACAATACAGACATCTACGGCTGACAACATCTGATTGATGAGAATACAATACAGATATCTACGGCTGACAACATCTGGTTGATGAGAATACAATACAGACATCTACTGCTGACAACATCTGATTGATGAGAATACAATACAGACATCTATGGCTGACAACATCTGATTGATGAGAATACAATACAGACATCTANCCCAGGTGGGTTTTCTCTGCAGCTATGGGGACTCGGGTTTCCCTCTACATTTAGACCCGCGTCACTCCTATGGGATTCCACTGGTGCCACAAAGTGATAGATATAGTGAGTTAACTTGGACCTAAATTCGGTGATTTGACAAAATTTTGGATGTCGGAAAATGTTAGAATTTAGAATATGAATAACCAGATTAATTTCATATTTGCGGACATATATATCGTGGTTTTACAACAAAATATTTGTTTCACAAGTGATGCTCCAAGTCACCAGTAAACTCAAACTGTGACAGTAAAACCACCAATACGTCTGTCAAAAATCTGAAATACAAGATTATTCCCTAATTTAAGATAAACATACTTAACTAAGTGTTTTACTAGTAATTGTGGGTCTTTTATACATTAGGGCATTAGGGTGTCACCGACTTCCTCAAAGTTCTTATAACTAGTTACATATTACTGGGTAAGTTAGCTGTTATAATTATATGTTGTATAATTCATATAGTTGACACCACTTTTTGGGAGTATACAAGATATGGCAGTTTTACTAAAATGACAAATACATGTAGCAAGCGTCCTCCGAAATCATGAAAAATAATGATATATATTTATGTCCTTATTTCTCAATCAAACAGCTGTGGTCTAAGCACTCCCCGTTTACTTCAATGATAATATGAAGTAAATGACAATTTTACTGCCATCTGCTATATATATATCCCCGATTCACATTTCCCCACCACCATTGCACTAACACTTGCCTTACAGACCTGTGCACACTGAATCTCACTGCTTCTTATACAATGTCTGCTCGTCATTGCACTTCACTCCGACATAACAACAGGAAATCTAATCTTCATTCCTGATCTATTAATGTCAAAAGAGACTTAGCAAATCCTAGATTTCAAATTATGAACAGAGGGCATCCCAATAACAGTAATATATACAGTAGGTAGATTTGCTAACATGTTTACAGAAGAGGAGAAAGTGATAATGATGAGTTGGGCATTTCATTGGTAATTCAAATGAGGTTATGACTAACATTTTGCTATGAGATATGTTGTTATGACAACGTATGTTATGACAACATATGCTGCTAATGACATCATATGTTGCTGTTACATCACATGCCTGCTATGATTATATATTACTATGATGTCATTTGTTGCTATGACATCATGTATTGCTATGACATCATATGTTGCCATGACATCATGTGTTGCTATGACATCATATGTTGCCATGACATCATGTGTTGCTATGTTTAACATGTCACTGTGACATCATATATCTATATGGCACATCTAGCTATACAAAACAATACAGACATCTACGGCTGACAACATCTGATTGATGAGAATACAATACAGACATCTACTGCTGACAACATCTGATTGATGAGAATACAATACAGACATCTACTGCTGACAACATCTGATTGATGAGAATACAATACAGACATCTACGGCTGACAACATCTGATTGATGAGAAGAGTATAAACAAAGAAACATGAACAGTTATAAACATTAATAATAGTATAAGAAAGAAACACCTTTCCCAAAAATTGTTTAAGACATAATAAAAACAATAAAAAAATGTAAGACCACTGATTTTTAGTTTAGAAAAAAGGCAGAAATAAATTAAGATATCACTCATTATTTGAATTGATTTTAATGACTTTTTATTCCTACACAAACATCTTAAGTACATGTAATTACTTGACTTACCTGAACCTTCCTGTATATGGCACCAGCAATCTACTTAACCCAAAACTTATTACAACGATGCCTTCATTTTAACAAATTTCTGAGTCCAACAGCCTATTACAGACATGCATGTGTACAAGCTTAACATATTTTATTTGAATAGCTATCAACATTAAGGTTTACATTAGGTCATCAAGTCAGAACTACAAGCATCACTAATGCTTTCTTGTGTAGCTTAAATGGGTCATGCATTGGTTTATCTCCTTCATTTTCACCAGCTATGTAGCTAGAGTGGAGCTCTTAAGTACAGAAGTTACATTTCTGTCTAGTATAGGTATCGTCAGTCAGTATTAGAACACTTTAAAATTGACCTATAGCTAATTAACATAAAATATGACCAGGATTAATACTTTAATTTTATTTGTCATAAACAAAATTATCATGAATAAACCGGAGATATATTTTGGGAACAAAAACCTAGGTCTCTCCCTAATAGCCGATATGTATAACTTGCTGGACATTTAATTCACCTTTGACCTAGAGGTAAAGCTTGGTCACGGCAAAGTAATTACAGTTATGTAGGTATAGTTTAAGTTTAATCAAGGTATGCAAAGTCAAGATCACATTAGAAGAGAAATCAGTCCTAAAAATAAACAATGTATCCCTTAATTGGAATATGATAATATCAAATGCCATAATTTTATTTAAATGAGATGAAACAGGAATGAATTCTTAACATAACAAAAAATAGTATATCCTGATAAAAAAAAAAACTTTTCATAACTTTTTTTTTATTTTTTTATTATTAAAGTTGAAAACAAAATCAACACCGCATTCTACATATTAAAACATGAAGGAAACTAACAATTTAAATGAAGAGTCAAAGAAAATGTGCCATAAAGTCAATACAAATATGGAAGGAAAAACAGGTACATGCATAAAATTAAACTAAAGTGATGGAAGGAAAAACAGGTACATGCATAAAATTAAACTAAAGTGATGGAAGGAAAAACAGGTACATGCATAAAATTAAACTAAAGTGATGGAAGGAAAAACAGGTACATGCATAAAATTAAACTAAAGTGATGGAAGGAAAAACAGGTACATGCATAAAATTAAACTAAAGTGATGGAAGGAAAAACAGGTACATGCATAAAATTAAACTAAAGTGATTAACAAATTGCAGGTGATATTTTTCACCGGCATAAAATTTAATTAAGATTTAAATACCTTTCTACATGACAACAAAAATAACAAAATTACAAGCTTTAAAACAAATGTCACCAAAAACGCAGCAATAATTATATTTCTGCAATACAGCCCTTCAATGTATTATCAGAGTTGGTATAAACTGTTAAAATTTATAGAAATATGTTGTATACGTCTTAATAAACAAAATCTCCCATAAATTACCCAGAGATGAAACGCAATATCTGGGGCAATTCGTTTTCAATTTAACATTATATACCATGAGGACTACACAGCTTGTACACCTTTCAGCTTAAGGTAATGTTCCATCAAATGTCATTTATTTTGTAATTAAGTAGACTCTGTAGTAGCTGCTAAATTCCTTTTCCAGATGATTTCTTTGCAATTTCATAGACATGATAACATCATACTAATTTTTAATCAACTGTGAATACTTTTTGCAATATGATTTAACTATCCTTCTAAAAATAATCGTTACAAGCAAAAGCAACGTCATTTTGATTATAACAGTCCATTGTGTGAAATTGTTTAAAAATTGAAAGCATTATAAATTACTTGTGCACTCTTCATTCAATAGAACAAAATTGGTGGACAGCAAAGGGGGCTGCCACAGATCCTCACCCCAGTCTTAACACACATACAGGATACATATATGTGCCACACCCCTGTGTAATCAGAAAACTGGTTTAATTTTAACACACGTGTTCCTATTATTTGGAGGAGGAAAAGCTGCCTCTATTGGAAGAAAGATTCTTGCATACTAGAAGTCCATGAAACTTTACAAAAACAAACAATTTAGACAGCAATTACTTGAAACATTCTAAGTTAAAATTATATAAAACTACTCCTACAGAATAGACCAATCAAATATAGTAAACCTAAGTTACTACCAACCAGATTACTGCCCTCTTAAGGTTGTTAAAACAAAATGTAAAGCAAAATAATCAAAGCACTTCAATTAATGCTGAAACAATTATTTCTACACTTATCTACCTATTCTAGATTTTACCCAAAGCCAGATTTTAACAAACTCTAAAATACTTTCTGTGCAATGAATTGTGTTCATTTAAATATGAATCACCATCAAAGTAAACTTATTAATGAAATACAAAAGAGTAATTCACGCTCGAGTTTTTCTCAGAAATCGTTGTTTTATCACTATAAGTTTCATACTCGTATGTTCACAAATTTTGCTGCATAGCCTAACAAATAGGGATGTCAGTGCCTGATTTTTGATGTCCTATCATCATCGTGATGTCAACAGATATTCGATTTAGGTAAAAATAAACAAAGTTTTGGTATTTTAAATTTGAATAAGTTTGTTTTGACCACATACAGGAATTGAAAAGTTATTTTACGAGCTTTCGAAAAACCGAATCAGTAAAGTCAGCTGTCAAAAATCATCGACATGTCGTCAAATAGCACTCTAATTCTAAATTTAAAATTTCAACAACATCTTTATATACATGTATAAGTATTCATTACAAAATTTGTTTATACTGTATATGTAAACTTGTAATGTTGTTTGGTTTTGGGTTTATTTGTTTGACATCCTATCAACAGCTTTAGTCATTCAAGGACATGCCTCCATTTGTGTTGTGTATGCATGCTTGTAAATATGTGAGCTGGCTGCAGGATATATTTGCGTTCTTGCGGTAGTGCTGATCTGATGCCAACTTTAAAGTGCTACCTCACTGAAATACACTGCTAAAGGCACCAAGCACAGTATTCCATCCGGTCACATTATACTGACAACAGGTAATAGTTGCGATAACTCTTAATGCTGAACGTCAAGCAGGGAATAAAAACTATCATTTCTAAGGACTTTAGTATGTCCCAGCCTGGGCAAAGAACCTCATGTAATCTTGTATGTATTGAACTAATTTCAGATAGTATGTATAGACTTTTATAGAAATGACAACTAGATGAAGGCAAATTTCATGAAGTGTGCTCCAGTACTTCATGTAGAATCAATCTTGGGCCTGTTGACATTTACACTGCCTACTTGTGTGCCTGTTGACATTTACACTGCCTACGTGTGCCTGTTGAGATTTACACTGCCTACATGTGCCTGTTGACATTTACACTGCCTACGTGTGCCTGTTGACATTTACACTGCCTACTTGTGTGCCTGTTGAAACAAGTTGAATGCTTGTGTGCGTGTTTTGTTTGACATTTTTGAACAGTCTACAAAAAAGGATTGCATATCGAGAAATTATAATTAGTAGGAACCAGAGAGTTGACAAAAGGAAACGGACGTTTTCAAAAACTCGCAAATTAAGTTTCAAGTACTTATTGTGTTCAAAACAAACTAAGCATTTATTAATCATTCCAAATTGATGAATCTCATTCCGAATATTAGAAGGAACCACATTTGAATAAGAACTCGTTAATATTGTTGTGTTGTCTTCTACACTTTCATCACAAAATATTAATACAGACATCACAATCAGGCAATGGCAATCACATTTGATATGAATGACAAATTGTTTTCAGTAAGGTGTAATAAGCCTATGGAACGTAACTATATTTAAATGAAAACACTGCATTGTGTTCACATACAATACCCTTCTCTGAAAACATATTTTCTCAGTTGTTATGTAAAACATTTAATGATTTTTGCTGCATTTTTTCACTTGCTCATCAAGATGTTTCCTGATTCTTCATATAACTCATTCAGATAATTATTCCTCAGTGTATCATGCTGTTTTCATGAAAATCAGTCCACTAGGAATTCTTGATGTCAGCTGTCTAGCAGCAGGGATCAAAGGTTTTGTACAGTGCATCACTCTCTCAATCTGGATGTAAACTGTCGGCTAACTCAGGGGTTCAAGCCCTGAGCTGTAGCTCTTAACGCGGGAGAACAACAATGAGGGATAACTCTTGTCGTTTAACTCAAAGTCGGACACGGTCTCCGAATCATTGAGTCTGAAACATAAAGAAATCAAACAAATCAAACAGTAATTTTCTGTGCCAATGACAAGCTATACAGTACAATGTCATGTATTGCAGTAACGTTTCAAATTATTGGGTTTTATTTAAATTCCAAATATGAATATTGCTGCTTATTCAAACATGAAACAATATTCCAGATAAAGCAGTAACTTATTTTTGAAAAAAAAGGCACTATAAATAAAATATTACAATGGTGTCAACAGACCCATTATAAATATGGCTGTAAATTTGTACATGATAGCTTGATTTCAAACAGATGTTTTTTTACCTATGTTAAATTTGGTACTGATGTAAATCCAACAATACAACTAGCCTTACAAAGGGATGTTTGTGACAGCCTAGCAGTAATTTATGTATGCACAAAAGGACAGACCCACAAATGTGAATTCATATTTTTTCTGTTTACCTGCATATAAAATTCAATGATTTAGCCACAAATTACATCCCCATTAGTATCTGACATGTGCTGTCCTGGAGCAAATTCATGTAACACTAAACCGGACTTACTTGTATTTGATGTGAACGGAGTACTGGTGACAGTTCACCTAACACTAAACCGGACTTACTTGTATTTGATGTGAACCGAGTACTGGTGACAGTTCACCTAACACTAAACCGGACTTACTTGTATTTGATGTGAACGGAGTACTGGTGACAGTTCACCTAACACTAAACCGGACTTACTTGTATTTGATGGGAACCGAGTACTGGAGCCAGTTCACCTAACACTAAACCAAACTTACTTGTAATTGATGTGAACTGAGTACTGGAGCCAGTTCACCTAACACTAAATCGGACTTACTTGTATTTGATGTGAACTGAGTACTGGAGCCAGTTCACCTAACACTAAACCGTACTTACTTGTATTTGATGGGAACCGAGTACTGGAGCCAGTTCACCTAACACTAAACCAAACTTACTTGTAATTGATGTGAACTGAGTACTGGAGCCAGTTCACCTAACACTAAACCGTACTTACTTGTATTTGATGTGAACTGAGTACAGGAGCCAGTTCACAAAACACTAAACCAGACTTACTTGTATTTGATGTGAACTGGGTACTGGAGCCAGTTCACCTAACACTAAACCGTACTTACTTGTATTTGATGGGAATCGAGTACTGGAGCCAGTTCACAAAACACTAAACCGGACTTACCTGTATTTGATGTGAACTGAGTACTGGAGCCAGTTAACCTAACTCTAAATCGGACTTACTTGTATTTGATGTGAACTGAGTACTGGAGCCAGTTCAGCCGTGAGTGTTTGCGCTTTCCCGCATTGGTAATCTCAAACTCCTGAATAAACAAAACAGACAAAAAAAATTATCCTGGATTTTTAAAACATGGACAAATCAGGCATGCTGGGAAGCATCACAAAATTGAGTTTGTTTGACTCCAAGTATACTTAATACGAAGATCATTTTACATGTCATCACATTCTTCAGGAGTAGTATTCTAAAGATTTACCCACATTTCTCAATTTTAGTTCTGTGCTACTTCATGTTGAAGTGTTATTGAAGCTGTGAAACACCACACATACTAGTGTTTAGGGAAAGTATTGTTCCACTATTTTCTTGTTTAATCTTTTCTTCAATATCCACACAACGACAATTTATAAGGCAGATCGTCCTTTTTTGGAAATGCTTCTTCATTGGAGATAGAACACAAAGCACTAAGACTCTACCTTAAGTCTGGTAATTTAAAGTTTAAAGAAATGACACCCGTACCACGTGGAAAGTCTGTTCATTGCTGTGCCTGTTCCTCATCTGCTCTCGGTGCCTGGAATGCTTGATATAAGCAGTGGCATCTGTGGTTGGTTTTACACGTTTCAGCACTCCACTTACCTAGGTAACAGCAAAGAACAATGAAGCACAAACTTTATAATCTCAACACCTTAAAATATAAGCGATTTGTTTGGTTATCATTAAATCATGCATTTATGTCAATAGCTGCAATAATAGCTTCTAGGCCCGGTAGTTTTATATTTTTTTTATTATATCGACTCTATGCAGTGTTCAGGTTTTTATTTTGGTTAATTTGGAATGGGGCTTTTTTGTCTCATTTTGGGACGAAAATATTAGAAGGAAGTAAGTCTTTAGGAGTACACTGCAAATTTTGGGAATGAGGAATGAATATGAAATAATTTCAATTGGGAATAGGGCCCTTTATCGACCCCAAAAGTCCCCAGAAAAAAAACACTGGAACTGTTACTGTCTCATGAAAAGGAGGTTGAAACTTTCTTTATAATGTCGTTCCATTGTAATGTCACAATATGTATACTCTGTGCCAAATGCAGCACTTTTCTCTTGAAGGTTTTCTTACATTTTTCTTGTTTAATGATGGAAAATGTTAAACCCATTCACCCTTAAAGTTACATTTGAACTTCACCAAATCAGAGGCTGGGCAAGTCCAGTGTAAATATGTAGGGGTGAATGAGTTAACAGATATAGACTTTTATTTTGGTGCATATGTGGTTATATGGACCTGAAAAGTTATACAAAGTGTACCGACTAAATTGACTTGATCTCAGTTAATATCCCTTTCCTAGGTCCATATAACTACATTTTCACCTCAATAGAAGTCCACAACGGATCGCTATTTAACATTAAAACCCAGAAATCAGCAGATATCATTGAATATTCAATGTGAAAGCACTATGGTAAGATGTCACTGTAGGTTTTAAGCCGTCAGATTGATAGATGTTGCTGTATTTTCACTGGGTTGATCGATATTCAAGTCTACCTTTAAATGTGAATTTGTATGTCTATATTTTCTTTACGAACTTTTATCTTAATGTAAGGTTTCCAGTAAAATGTAACATTTCACACCTACCCTGTCACCAAGGAGACGGTAGTACCCCTTCAGGAGTCCCTGTTCTCTTGCCTGTTTAGATTTTAATTTGCCCAGCATCATCATCGGTTCATCAGAACTTGTGTGCATCAGCATGTTACCTGACAGACAAACAGTTACATTAATTAACAGCCATTGTATGAGACCAAAGGGTGATATTGATAGAGCGAGACATGGATCACTTTGAGTTAAACGACCGATTCCACTCCTGAAAATCCAGCATTCATTCAGAGAATTACCATTTATTACATTTCATTCACAGAATTACCATTTCATACGTTTCATTCACAGAATAACTATTTCATACATTTCATTCACAGAATTACCATTTAATACATTTCATTCAGAGAATTACCATTTTAATCATACATTTCATTCACAGAATTACCATTTAATACATTTCATTCACAGAATTACCATTTAATGACAAGAGATAATCATATTCAATTAATGAATTACTCCATAACTAACAATCACAGCACTATTTGTATGTTTCCCATGTCACATCCTCGATGTCCAGGGGTTACACTCACTTACGCTTTCTGCACCCCTGGAATCATCCTCGATATCCAGGAGTAACACTCACTTACGCTCTCTGCACCCCTGGAATCATGCTCAATATCCAGGGGTCACACTCACTTACGCTCTTTGCATGCCTGGAATCATCCTTGATATCCAGGAGTTACACTCACTTATGCTCTCTGCACGCCTGGAATCATCCTCGATATCCAGGGGTTACACTCATTTACGCTCTCTGCACCCCTGGAATCATCCTCGATATCCAAGGGTTACACTCACTTACGCTCTCTGCATCCCTAGAATCATCCTCGATATCCATGGGTTACACTCACTCACGCTCTCTGCATGCCTGGAATCATCCTTGATATCCAGGAGTTACACTCACTTATGCTCTCTGCACGCCTGGAATCATCCTCGATATCCAGAGGTTACACTCACTTACGCTCTTTGCGCGCCTGGAATCATCCTCGATATCCATGGGTTACACTGACTCACGCTCTCTGCATGCCTGGAATCATCCTTGATATCCAGGAGTTACACTCACTTATGCTCTCTGCACCTGTGGAATCATCCTCAATATCCAAGGGTTATGCTCACTTACGCTCTCTGCACCCCTGGAATATGTCACGACAAAATCAAAGGCTCAGTTTGGGTCACTTTTCGGATGAGAGAAGGAGAGTAGTTTGAACCTTTAATGCACATCAAAAGAATGTTGCGGCTGTTTAACATTAAAATTGGCTCTTAAGTCCGGTGTCGCTTCTCTGTGATCTTCAAAGGACAGGTATCAGCCTAGCGATTGGTCGGGTATTTTGATCTGAGACCAATCAAATAGCTAGCCCCAGCTGTGCCTTCAATTTTGAACGTAACCCCTTGAGTATCGAGGATGCCCAAGCCATTTTGATTAGACAACTTTTGCAGACTTCAAGATGATCTCTTGTTCAGTCAGTGGAACAGCTGACAAGATGGAGGATATATTATGTGAACTTATGATATGCCAGGACCAACCGGATTAAATATTGCGATAAATAACCAAACTCACCATCTGGAAAGAACCTTGCATATCTGTAGTAATCCACCACGTGCCAGGGTCTGTAAAAACCATCCAGACTTTGCTCTCCAGGTCTTGTGTAGGTACACTTACAGATGTAACAACCTAGGGAGTCAAAAAATAATAGAATTAAATGAATTTCAAACAGATTTTTACCATAAAATTATTATCGGAAATAGCAAATTAAACTCATACCCATAATTTAATCAAATCTCATTTGTCAGAACTGCTAGGGCCATGCTATTTGATGTTCTAGAGCTCCCAGTTGATAAATGAAAAAACAAACTGCCATGGGACCACAAGGTATTTGAGACATCTAAGTTCCTAACACAGAAGTTCAGCTGTGAAGAAATAAATAAAAAAATGTTTTTCCAAAATTATATGGACTGGTCACCTACCATGGAAAAGTAGATGTGGTTTTTCAATGTACATCATTCTCCAGCCTCCGAACTTCTTACAACTTCCCCTGTTCATACCCCACAATCTGTTCAACCAAACAATGATACAGTTTTATTAGTTCACACCTAATTAAACTATAGGCCAAAAAATATCAAGATTCTACAGCACTCCTCAGACTTCTGTAGAATAAGGGGTGCAGGTTAGGGAAATACTACCCAAAGGGTTTTCCAAATTTGGTAAAGCCTGAGGCTTGCCAAAGTTTTTGCACCATTTTGTAAATACTGAGGGTAAAATTTCCCTATCCAACAGGCATCGACATGACAAACTGTTTTTCTGTTATTTTAATCACAACAGTATTAGCTCAGAAACCACACAAAAATAAAAGGTGTAACAGTTGTGCATCATGACATCATAATGTTCCCAAATTCCTGACGTCAATGCAGTTACATAGTTGTGTTTCGCATGTGAAACGGTGTGTAGGAAGAAATTCTGCCTGATCATGGCTGTCTTGTTTTTTCCATTCAGTTTCAAAATGAAACATGCACTTTTATGAATAATGACTTTTATCACTACCAGGGTAAGGACCAAGAGAAAACATAAATAAATCATCAAACCATCAAGAGCTTCTTGACGAATAGCAATAACAATTTTTTAACAGTCAAAATTCAAGTCAGAAGCTTGGTAGCTTGTCCGAATTATTCTGTCAAATTCAAGATAGCAGCTTGGTATAGCTAGTCCGAATTATTCTGTCAAAATCAAGACAGCAGCTTGGTAGCTAGTCCGAATTATTCTGTCAAAATCAAGACAGCAGTTTGGTAGCTAGTCCAAATTATTCTGTCAAAATTCAAGACAGGAGCTTGCAATTTTGGTAGCTAGTCCAAATTATTCTGACGTTTTATCGACTTTTTTTTATATTGGTCTGGCGTCGATTTTTTTTCAAATTGGCCTCTCAGTTAGACATGCACAACAATGAACCAAGTATAACCTTCACATGAAATGTGAGGAAGACCTGTAACGTACTTCTAGAGAAAGAAGGATTACAAGAATTGTTTAAGAATGGACAATGGACAGACCAGATCGAGAGTGATTTTATTAGCTCACCCGATGATGAAAGTGGGTTATAAAAATATCAACTTTCAGTGAGTTTTGCAATACCTGAAACCTACCTGATACACACAAGTCGCCATATTTCTTCATCTCGGGCACACAGGTAAAAGCCACGGCAGACCTGAAATACACAGGAAATTAGTATGTGGTTCTAAAAGGAAGACAGAACAATTTCTGAAGCATGGCTCCCTTCCTTGAAGGGCACGGAGAGTATTTTCACCCTTTTTGAAAGGACATTGTGAGTTTTTGTTGCATTCCTGAATTTAGGACGCATATCTTTCGCAGGATGACTTTTAACTATGCTGGTACTCATTTGTTGTGGAACATTTATATAGTAATTAGTGAGAGTTGGATAAATATGAAACCATCTGGATTTGAGGGACATGCTTCTCCAGAACTGTTCCTATATTAGGGAAACCATCTCATCACTTAGGAATAAAAAAAATCAGCCCCAATGCTGATAGATATCACTGCTAAACCTGATATCATTAAAATGCAGTTTTGATATCACAAAGACTTCATTTATGACATAATCATCAGTTTTTTCACCAGTGTTTTAACACCTTAAATGTACGTTACACTGCTCAGGGGAGGTAGGGAACCTACCGTGGTTAATATTCTACATGTAACCTAGGCCTGTACTTCATTGCTTTGTATTAGTAGCAAGAAAATGATTACATTTTTTTACCATATATAGAATTACCATGACAACTTACCTCTGACAGATTCTCCAAAGATTTCATGTCAAGGTCGTTGCTTATGATCCACTTGAAAACAAGGTTCAGGACCTCGATGGGCAGACAGGAAATATGGGATGTCTGAAATAGCAGATCAGTTGATGACATTTAATCTTAGGGATGTTTTTCCTGGATATTTCATTTTGCAAATGGGATAGCAAATTCTATCACCATGATAAAACTAATATTTCTTACGAATACACCATGACAAATATGGAAAGTGATGTCAGTGCAAATATATATCACTTTTTGATTTTTGAACAGAAAATCTGCAGCTTTGAATGGAGTGAACAGAAAGTGCCTCTTTAATTGGTCAATACAAAAAGTGATATTTTCCTACAGACATCGCTTTTTGTATTGACCAATCAAAGAGGCAATTTCTGTTCACTTTTATTCAAAGCTGCAGATTTTCTGTGTGAAGTGATGGTAAAACAAGTGGTTGTTTGGTATACATTTCCTGCTGTTTATCTATGTATTCAGCAAATCTTAAACAAGAAAAGCAGAAAAAGTTAGGATTGCATTATGTGGCTCACTCATAATGATTGATGTGCTGAGCCATGTTGTCGATTGTGATGTCATTAGAATATGGCACCAACGATTCCACTATCAAATCCTGAACTGTTTTGATCTAACAGTGTTATTCTTGTAGGTGGTTTAAAGATGTAATTAATACAAACTATTTCATGGTTTCCCATTGAGTGCCATACATAAATATTTCTTGAGTTTTGAGGAATACTGATTATTTTCACGAATGTGAGGTGTAAGAGAAGATCATGTGTAACCTGTAGATTCTGCCATATAAGTGAAACTTCTTTCTATTATATTTCAATGGGAAAACCATTAAATTTCCTATTTGTTACATTTTTACATGGAATTTTATTGAATATCGTATAAAGAGAGTTTCACTCATCTAGCAGAAAATATAGGAGTTTTTTTTCCATTCCCTATTCACATTCATGAAAAATATATATGGTACTCAATGGGAAACCATCCAGTATCTTCTGTATATATGCCACCTTCCAAATGGGAAATATAGATACATAGTACAAATAGTACATCATACTTGACATAGCATCTTGTAAAGAATGTCTAATTTCCTCAGAATGTCTAATTTCCTCAGAATGTCTTATTTCCTCAGAATGTCTAATTTCCTCAGAATGTCTAATTTCCTCAAAGTTCTTCTTCTTATAGAGCATCTATAAAGGTTAATATATTATGCTTCCAAGTTCAAATTAATACAATGATATCTTAAAGATATTCTTGAAGATATTTTGACCATTCAGACATCAGAATGGTGAACTTGTAACCTATCTAAATCTCCCTTCAATCGTTGTATTACCTCACTTCCGTATCAACCTCTTGTTATATCAAAACAGTCTGTGATGTTCAAATGCTATTTTAAAACTAATGCCAAAACCTTTCGAAACATAACATGCCCAGACAATCAAGAAATTAGAATTGTTAGCTGGCAATAATGGCAATAGATGGCAAAATATCCATAAGGGGATGAGTTACTAACCCTTTGTTCGTACTCTGGAACACAGATTGTGTTGTCATCCTCTTGTACTCTCAGCCTCTGTAAATGGCTAGCCAGGTCATCTTCAATTTCTTCAAAGTCAACACTGTTACCAAATATCAATATACCGGTTACAAGGTTATCTTCAAGGTCATCAAAATCAGCAATATTAACGAAGATCAATATACGTGAAAGAAGGTAATCACCGAGGTCAATATTGTTTACAAGTAATTTAACAGGGTTATCATCAAGGACACCAAGATCAACACTGTTTCAAAGGAACAGACATGTATCAAGGTCATCATCAAGGTCACCAAGACCAACGCTGTTTCAAAGAAACAGACATGTATCAAGGTCATCATCAAGGTCACCAAGATCAACACTGTTTCAAAGGAACAGACATGTATCAAGGTCATCATCAAGGTCACCAAGACCAACACTGTTTCAAAGGAACAGACATGTATCAAGGTCATCAGCAAGGTCACCAAGATCAACACTGTTTCAGAGGAACAGACATGTATCAAGGTCATCATCAAGGTCAATACTGTCAATAACGAATAAAAATAATCATCGAGGTCAATACCGTTAACAAAGAATACATATATGAGAAATTTGTTTTGAACAAAAGCAGGATTTAAAAACTTATTCTGCGAGCTTACGAAAACATCTGTTTCCTTTGTCAAGCAAAGAGTGTAAAATGACCAGTGTCTCAAATCTATACTGCTAAAAACAACTCAATAAGACACAATACGCTGAGTCAGTAAATTCAGCTATCAAAATGATATTGAGAATTCTTTTCTAAATAACCCTCTAAAAGTAGTCAGATGTTTAACCATTCCACCCCAATACATTGGTCAATTCCCTCCTTTACTAAAACAATATTTCTCATTGCTAAATAAACTTTCCCAATTAGATTATCTTCTTTGTAATTAAAAAATGTATCCATTTTTAATTGCAACTCTGGACATGTTACTTCAAACTGAAGACTGCTTTCAATATCTATTTGCCATACGGTATATTTACAGCAAAAAAATGAGTTAGAAAACCTCTGCTGAATGTAGGTCACTTCATATTGAATCTCAGCTTGGCATTACTAAGGAATATATTATGAAGATTCTTTTAATGCTTCAAGAACATTTTTTTCTGAAATTTCACAAATGATAATATTGTATGTAAATCACTTGAGATATCATTTAGGTTTTATATGCTTCAAAGCTGTTACCCTTGTACCTGGTATTATGATATAATGTTTTGTAAAACAGTAATCAACATCACATTTCCTACCTGTTAACAGAGCTCTCACTTTCTTGTCGAACTGTGAAACAGAGAAATAATTGTAAAATTAAGTGATTTACAAGATTAAGTGATTTAGCATTGTATCATAATCGATTCCCATTCCATTAAAATATGCAACATTCTTAAATTGCCATTAAAATCTTCATTTATTGACATTCTCTCCTAATAACTCAATGTATTCACTTAAATTGATCATATTCAGCACTCCACTAATCACAGGTTATAAGGTTTGACAAGATATTATAGACAACAAATTTGAGTCTCAATAAACAGAAAATATAAAAACTTTTCCATTTAATAATGTGAATCTCCGGGTTTGACACTACCACTATTCCTCTAGTACGAGACTATTATATTTCTATCCCTCTAGTACGAGACTATCATATTTCTAACCCTCTAGTACAAGACTATCAGATTTCTAACCCTCTAGTCCGAGACTATTAGATTTCTATCCCTCTAGTCCGAGAATAATCCCTCTAGTCCGATACTATTAGATTTCTAACCCTCTAGTCCAAGACTATTATGTTTTGAACCCTCTAGTACAAGACTATTAGATTTCTATCCCTCTAGACCGAGACTATTAGATTTCTAACCCTCTAGTCCAAGACTATTATGTTTTGAACCCTCTAGTACAAGACTATTAGATTTCTATCCCTCTAGACCGAGACTATTAGATTTCTAACCCTCTAGTCCAAGACTATTATATTTTGAAACCTCTAGTACAAGACTATTAGATTTCTATCCCTCTAGACCGAGACTATTAGATTTCTAACCCTCTAGTCCAAGACTATTATGTTTTGAACCCTCTAGTACAAGACTATTAGATTTCTATCCCTCTAGACCGAGACTATTAGATTTCTAACCCTCTAGTCCAAGACTATTATGTTTTGAACCCTCTAGTACAAGACTATTAGATTTCTATCCCTCTAGACCGAGACTATTAGATTTCTAACCCTCTAGTCCAAGACTATTATATTTTGAAACCTCTAGTACAAGACTATTAGATTTCTATCCCTCTAGACCGAGACTATTAGATTTCTAACCCTCTAGTCCAAGACTATTATGTTTTGAACCCTCTAGTACAAGACTATTAGATTTCTATCCCTCTAGTCCGGGACTATTAGATTTCTATCCCTCTAGTACAAGACTTTTAGATTTCTATCCCTCTAGTACCAGACTATAACATTTCTATCCCTCTAGTACGAGACTATTAGATTGCTATCCCTTTAGTCCGAGACTATAAGATTTCTATCCCTCTAGTCCGAGACTATTAGATTTCCATCCCTCTAGTCCGAGACTAATCCCTCTAGTCCGAGACTATTAGATTTCTAACCCTCTAGTACAAGACTATTAGATTTCTATCCCTCTAGTCTGAGACTATCAGATTTCTATCCGTCTAGTCCGAGACTATTAGATTTCTAACCCTCTAGTACAAGACTATTAGATTTCTATCCCTCTAGTCTGAGACTATCTATCCCTCTAGTCCGAGACTATTAGATTTCTAAACCTCTAGTCCAAGACTATTAGATTTATATCCCTCTAGTCCGGGACTATTAGATTTCTATCCCTCTAGTACAAGACTATTAGATTTCTAACCCTCTAGTATGAGACTATTAGATTTCTATCCCTCTAGTCTGAGACTATTAGATTTCTATCCCTCTAGTCTGAGACTATCTATCCCTCTAGTCCGAGACTATTAGATTTCTAAACCTCTAGTCCAAGACTATTAGATTTATATCCCTCTAGTCCGGGACTATTAGATTTCTATCCCTCTAGTCCGGGACTATTAGATTTCTATCCCTCTAGTACAAGACTATTAGATTTCTATCCCTCTAGTACGAGACTATTAGATTGCTATCCCTTTAGTCCGAGACTATAAGATTTCTATCCCTCTAGTCCGAGACTATCATATTTCGAACCCTCTAGTACAAGACTATTAGATTTCTATCCCTCTAGACCGAGACTATTAGATTTCTAACCCTCTAGTCCAAGACTATTATATTTCGAACCCTCTAGTCCAAGACTATTAGATTTCTATCCCTCTAGTACAAGACTATAAGATTTCTATCCCTCTAGTCCGAGACTATCATATTTCTAACCCTCTAGTACAAGACTATCAGATTTCCAACCCTCTAGTCCGAGACTATTAGATTTCTATCCCTCTAGTACAAGACTTTTAGATTTCTATCCCTCTAGTACCAGACTATAACATTTCTATCCCTCTAGTACGAGACTATTAGATTTCTATCCCTCTAGTACAAGACTATTAGATTTCTATCCCTCTAGTACGAGACTATTAGATTGCTATCCCTCTAGTCCGAGACTATAAGATTTCTATCCCTCTAGTCCGAGACTATCATATTTCTAACCCTCTAGTACAAGACTATTAGATTTCTATCCCTCTAGTCTGAGACTATTAGATTTCTATCCGTCTAGTCCGAGACTATTAGATTTCTAACCCTCTAGTACAAGACTATTAGATTTCTATCCCTCTAGTCCGAGATTATTATATTTCTATCCCTCTAGTCTGAGACTATTATATTTCTAACCCTCTAGTCCGAGACTATTAGATTTCTATCCCTTTAGTCCGGGACCATTAGATTTCTATCCCTCTAGTACAAGACTATTAGATATCTAACCCTCTAGTCTGAGACTATTAGATTTCTATCCCTCTAGTCCGGGACTATTAGATTTCTAACCCTCTAGTACAAGACTATTAGATTTCTATCCCTCTAGTCTGAGACTATTAGATTTCTATCCGTCTAGTCCGAGACTATTAGATTTCTAACCCTCTAGTCCGGGACTATTAGATTTCTAACCCTCTAGTACAAGACTATTAGATTTCTATCCCTCTAGTCTGAGACTATTAGATTTCTATCCCTCTAGTCCGGGACTATTAGATTTCTATCTCTCTATAGTCCGGGACTATTAGATTTCTAACCCTCTAGTCCGAGACTATTAGATTTCTATCCCTCTAGTACAAGACTATTAGATTTCTATCCCTCTAGTCTGGGACTATTACATTTCTAACCCTCTAGTCCGGAACTATTAGATTTCTATCCCTCTGGTACGAGACTATTAGATTTCTATCCCTCTAGCTAGTCCAAGACTATTAGATTTCTATCTCTCTAGTCCGAGACTATCAGATTTCTATCTCTCTAGTACCAGACTATAACATTTCTATCCCTCTAGTCCAGGATTACTAGATTTCTATCCTTCTAGCTAGTCGGGGACTATTAGATTTCTACTCCTCCAGTCTGAGACTATTATATTTCTATCCCTCTAATCTATCAACACTTTCCATGTAAAAATCTTATTTGTGACTTCTGAAATTGCTAAATGTCAAGGGTCAATGTGTTTGTTTGGGATTAAGCGTCTGCACAACAGCCAGGGTCACATGAGCACAGGCCAAGGGTCAAATAAAAGGCCCCATTTTTATTTTACCTATTTGACTCTTTCTCTTTACCACTAGCAGTTACAATATGAATTGAGTAAGTGGAGACTGTGCTTACCTCGTTGAGGCCGGATAAGACAGGTGTAATCAATCCTCATTTCTATATCAGGTACCAGATGCATCGCCCGTCTGTAGAAGGATATGGCTGTGAAAAAAATAAATACACAATGTAAACATACTGTCATGCATTAAAAGGTCAAAAACTTTAATAGCATAGCAAAGAACCTGAGATCTCAAAAAAACAAATAGAAAATGTCTGTAAGACTCAATGCAAACGAGTGTCATTTATCGACAAATTACAATATATAGAAACAAGAGGCCCAATGGGCCTGCATCGCTCACTTGGTATAAATCTTATACTTAAACCTTAAAAGTGATCTAAAATAAAGCTACAGGCAAAATATCAGTTTTCATGATTAAAAGTCATTTAAAAGAACATGTTAAAAGTTTTTAAAACATTTCACCCTGTGACCTTGAAAGTCACACAAGCTCACTATGTTGAACAATAATCTCAGGATGCAACTTGCAAAATATCACCACCCTATCCTTTTGTTTATTGAAATTAGGTCATTTAAATGTTTATACAAATTTGACCCCTGTGACCTTGAATAGCAGTCAAGGTCATTAATTTGAACAAACTTGGTACCCCTTGATCCCAGCATGATACTGACCTTATATCAACATACTAGGCCTAATAGTTATTCATCAGAAGTCGTTAAAGATTTTAACATATTTGACCCCTGTGACCTTGAATATGGGCGAATTCATTTGAACAAACTTGGTAGCCCTTCATCCCCATCATTCAACGGGTCAAACATAATCTCCCTGGGCATTTTGGTTATTTAGAAGAAATTGTTTAAAGTTTTTAACATATTTGACCCCTGTGACCTTTAAAATGAGTGAAGGTAATTTATTTAAACAAATTTGGTAGCCCATTATCCCAGTTTGCTTCTGGCCAAATATCATCACCCTAGGCCTTTTGGTTATTAAGACGAAGTTGTTTAAAGTTAAATATTGACGCTGGACACTGGACGCCGGACCAGTTGAGCTATAGAGTGACCTTGACCTTTTGCTTGTGAAATACTTAGTCATTCAATGTATTATCCTATATATATAACTGACCTCAATTAGTATTAAATTTGATCAAAATTTGTTTGCAAATTAAGCTGCTCGAACAGTTACTAAATAGGTTGACAAGTTTCTATAAATAGTAACATGACCTTGACTATGGAATGCCTGGTATCCAAATGCATTGCAGTTATTCTTATCCTTGTCATTTGTATCAAGTTTGGTCAAAAGTGATCACTAGAGGAATGATAGAGAATCGGGATGGAATTGCCCCACCACTATCACAGTAAAATACTTTTTACATGTACCAGGAAATTTTCGCCCTGTCAAACTTTGCCCTTCGCCGGTAAAATTCATATTCACCCAGTTTTTATTTCATCCTTAACATGTAATAACTATGCATATGATGTTGTTTACTAATATTCGCTGTAGTTATTAATTCAAAAAGGTGAAAAATTAAACTGCAACGAAAATTTTCTGCAGGGCATGAATAAAAATATTAAAATATGATCATGTGAAGGATATGGCCAGGGAATGCCGGTGACTATCAAAATGTTGTGAACCTTTTAACTGTAAGAAACCAATACATATGAAATTCCTGTTCATTTAAGATCACAAACAACATTTATTATTTTCAATGATTGGAGTCAGTGATGTTTCAATAAATAAGAAGGAGTATGAAAACTTAAAGAATTCATCACACAAGTAACATTTAATAGAAATGATAATAATCAAAATGCAGACTACAATTTAAAGAAATGTTTTATATATTGCAGACCTGTGTAAAACCTTGTACTAAATCAATTGACACAAATTCATTAATGTCAAATGTGAGTCAAACAACATTACCCTGCTTTATATCATTACAGAGCCCTACAGTAAAAAAGCAAGATTATGTTTTTCTTTTTGATTTGTTTATCAATAAATGCTGCTTACAACTTAGTCAGATTATTGGGTAAATGCTAAAATTTTGAAAAGTCTGTACTCTTAATTACAATGTATATTTTAAGATATAATGCCATATATGTTGACTGCATGTCTACAGATGTACCCTAATTGTTTAGATTGTTTATACCTTCATACAGTGATCCACACTGCTCAGCTTGCATTCCCTGTAGAAACAGCACCTTGGCCTACAACAGATCATAAAGAATATAATACAAGGGAGACAATCAATATATAAATAAACTGAAACAATAACAAACAAAACAATTGTAAGGGAGACAATCAAGAAAATTGATCAGGCATACAAGGAAGATATATTTCAACAGGCTTTTCTTTGGTTAATTTGGGATGGTTCTTTTTTGTCTCATTTTGGAAAGAAAATTTACCAAACTTTCTGGAGTAAACTGCAAATTTTGGGAATTAGGCATTAATATGAAATAGTTTCAATTAGGAATGAGGCCTAATATCGGCCCGTAAAAGACCTGAGAAAAAAACAAAGTATCCCATTTTATTTTAATTGCTATCAAAGTAACAATTCAAATGTTTTGATGACAGCTTCCTCAAACTTCCATTACCATTAACCCTTTACCAGAACACGCCCCTTACCATTTACCCTTTATGGGTACACGCCCCTTACTATTAACCCTTCATAATAACATGCCCCTTACCGTTAACTCTTCATAAGAACACGCCCCTTACCAATAACCCTTCATAATAACATGCACCTTTAATGTTGACACTTCACAGCTGATAAACACCCTTTAATTACCATCAAAACTTTATGGGTAAACATTCCTCACCATTAATGCTACATAGATACACCCCCCCCCCCCCCCACCCCTTTACCAATATAACCCCACATGGGTTTACTAAATACACCTACATGTTCTTCAATATCAGGGTTGATATTAGAGTCACTGTCCTTCAGCTTCATATCCTTAGCTTGCTCTAAAATCTCATTCTGCCAGCTCTCACGGAAGTTGTCCAGTTGGTTCTCGATGTCCGGTGGTTCCTCTGGTACGCCGGCATCATCGTCAACAATAGGGAGTTGTAGCAGGTCACCATCCTGTAACATCAAAATGAAATATGATGACACATGCATTTCAAATTGTTTTGTTTTTTGTTTTAAACATATTTTATTGCCTTTTTTACATAGCAATGGAATTGGGCACAAGTTTTACAACTTATATCAAGCCCTTTCCCTGTACAATAATATTTTTTTAACAAAATGTCATGACGGCAGAACTACGTAAATAAGCTATGTATTATAAATTAATTAATCAGTGACATACATACACCCACACATTCACGCACCGAACCACACACATGCGCACAAATATAAACATGCACATGTAGATAAAGGAAGAGAGAGAGATAGGGGGATGGTGAGAGGGGAGGAGAGAGAAAGGGAAGAAGGGGTTAGAGGATCAGATTTTTAAGAGTACTAGATAAGTACTGCAACAAGACTGTAAATTTAAGAAAATATATATCAGACCACGTGGTTGTTCCTTCTCCATGCGAACGGACTAGTTATACTATTCGCTGTTCACAACTTTCTTCTGATCAATGTTCATCACATCCCGTGCTATTATAACTTCCTCCTGTTCACTCCGTTCTTGCTGGTATTTCCGTTTCAACTAGTCCGTCCGCACAGAGAAAGACCAAACACACGACTTCATTATGTATATATATATATATACGTATATTTGTATGTTGCAACTCGTGTTGTCAATCTATTAGTATTAATAAGATACATGTATTAATAAAGATGTCGATTTTGAGGGGTGAAGGGTGTTAAAATCTGTTCGAGTCTTGTATATATTGCTGAGTATTCATGAAGATAATTTTGTTTTCTTGTTCCGAAATTGTTATATCTCCAAAAAGAAGTAGATTCAATGTAAGGGGGATGTATGCATTCAGTTCACGATAAAGTTTAATTCTCTGTTCAACATAATTATCACAGTTAAAAAAGAAATGAAAGGTGTCTTCAATAGGGTAACCACACATACAACGTTGGTCATCAACCAGGTTAACTCGGAATAGATCGTTTTTCAAAGTGCTAGAACGGTTTCTTAGTTTTGTATGTAGGATGTTATTTTTTCTATCACCGTAGAAAAAGTAATTGGGTACATGGGGCAAATGTTTGTCTCTAATGGCATTTTTAAACGATGAAAAAGATGAGCTATGCCTAATACTTAAAGTTAACTGATTCCAGAGTCTAATAGTAGAAGGAAAGTAAGACATGTTAGATAACTCTAGTCTGTTGTTAGGCAGGTTGTAGTTTTCGGCGTTTCTAAGATTATATCGAGCATTTTCGACAAGAGGAGGTAGTAGAGTGTTTAGATAGTTAGGAGTAATATTATGATGAATTTTATAAAATAATTGCAGTTTCCGACGGGACCTCCGGTGGGCTAGGGATTCCCATCCCGTTTCAGTATATATAGATTGTCTACTAGCATAGGAAGGTAAACCGGTGACAATACGTCCTGCCTCTAATTGTAACTTTTCTAACTTGTCTGTATCAGTAAGAGTACAACCATCCCAAACTTCACAGCAATATTCTAGAATAGGAAGTATAAACGATCTATATATCTTATTTAATGTACGGCGGTTTAGATTATATTTCAATTTACGGAGAACACCTAACTGCTTGACTACTTTTTTACAAATATTGTCAATATGATAGCTCCACTTACAGTTAGCATCGATGAATACTCCCAGATGTTTATGGTTATCAACAAAGTCTATACTGATATTATTAAAATCTATTTCAATCAGGTGATCTAGTTCTATATTAGAAATAAGTAAAGCCTCTGTTTTTGCAGGATTAAAACTAACTAACCATTTATCAGCCCACAATTGAATATTTCTTAGATCGTTATTAATTTTTTGTTCTAATATTTGTGGGGATTTATCTGAACATAATAGAGAAGTATCATCTGCAAAAAGTTTTGATAAGCTTTCTAAATGATCTGTTATATCATTAATATAAAGTATGAACAACAACGGACCTAAGACTGAACCCTGAGGTACTCCTGCATTAGTTGTCTTAACAGAGGATTTACTGTTTCCAAAAAATACTTGTTGAGATCTATTTGTAATATAATCAATTAACCATTCCAATAACTTACCCGATATTCCATAGCTAGCTATTTTCACCCCCAGCCCCCTGTGCCACACTCGATCGAATGCCTTAGAAATATCACAGAAGACTAAACAGGTGGGTTGCTTTTTTTCAAGATTGTCGCACAAGTTGTGGTATATTTCTATACATTTCAAATAAATGCAACTAACCCTTTAAGTGGTTTTGGACAGTGTTTCATTCAGAAACTATCACTCGTGGATGAGGTCAATACATTGATCTGTTCATAAAGAGTGACCTATCATATCCAGAAAAATCTTGGCATTACAAAGGGGTTTAGCAATAATTAAGGGAAATATACAATAAAAGATATTCTTAGAAAACAAGAAAAGAGACATTGCAATTGGTTGGCGGTTACTATATAAACGAGGTGGCAAATGAAACGAGGGACAATATATATTGAGGGTTAATTATAACATGTGTTCCAGCTTCCATAACTGTGGTTCAGGGTTATGTGCACGCGTCAAGCAAAAACTACGAATATGAGTGTGTTTGCTATTTTACAAACACATGGTTATACAGCTGTTTTAAGCCAAACCCTACAGTCTGGGCTGATCATGAGGGCCCATGAAACAGCTAACGCTGCTTAAAAACCCTATCAAAATATATTGCTGCTACAATTACAACCATAAAGAAGAGTTCCGCTCTGAGTTTTTATTTATTTGTAGTCTCCCTTTCATATGTAAGATGGAGCAGCCAAAAGGAGTTTTCTTGCTTAGAGTAAATCTCCCTATCAAGTTATTAATGTGCTGTTCGGCCCTTCCTAATGTAATTTGTAAATGGCGTGATATATATTATAATCCCATGTTGGTTCGTCGTAGAGGACTTACAGAGCTTGGTAAAACTTCTGTTCAATTTGTTTTGCAAAAAAAAAATTGCAAAAAATATGTCTAAATAAAACAAGAGGCCCAAGGGCCTTAGCGGTCACCCGAGTTATATTACAGGTAGTAGTAGCTATAGCTCAATTTCATTATTGAGATTTGATGTGGAAATCAACATGTAAACAAAGTGAAATACAATACTTGTCATGTCACCAAAGGATAAGAACTTTAAAAACTATTCAAACAGATTATTTTGCTATTGAGAAATATAATATCTATTGTTATTTAGCCAATTTTCCTCTTTGGCCAACCCCTTTGAAAGGTCAGGATCTTAGTTTCTAAAGGGTAATATAACTAATAGTTTATAAAATGCACCTAAGGGCATTTCCATCCAAAAAAGAAATTTGAATCTTGTACCATCTGAGTGCAGAGGTTTTTCAAATATCAGCCATTTTCCCCTTTTTGGCCCCACCCCTCCAGCCCCTGGAGTAAGAACAGATCTTATTTTTTCATACCGATAATGCACATAAGGATCTTTCTATCCATAAAGAGTATTTGTTTGTAACACATCTGAGTCTGTTGAAGACTTTTGATCTTTTAACCATCTTCCCCATTTGGGCTCAACCCCTCGAGCCCCTGGGGATGGGGCAGGATTTTATTTTCTCATACCATCTAATTGCCACTTGGCATCATAATCATTCCAACTAATTATAAGTTTAAATAATTTCCTGCTGGAAATTGACAATTTTAGTATACCAAAAAGTGTTATTTCCCTATATAAACTATAGTTATATTTACCCCCTCCCCAAGGGAGAACGGTTGGCCCAGGGGTACTGAAATTTACAATTAACATAAAGCCACCGTAACCTTTCCACCCATGCAGTGAAATTGACTGTATTAGTACGTACCCGAGTCTGGAGAAGATGTTTGAAATATTAGTTAATTTTCCCTTTGGGGCCTTGCATGCCCTGGCCCCTGGAGTTGGGGCCTTGCCCTGGCCCCTGGAATTGGGGCAGGAATCCCAATTTTACAACTTGATACCATCTTCTCCTAAGGATGACTCTCAATAAGTGAGAATAATTTCCTACTGAACATTGACAATAGATACCCAAAAGTGCTATATCCCTATATAAACTATGGTTAACTTTACCCCCTCCCCAAGGGTGAATAGATGACCCAGGGTTACTAAAATTTACAATTTACAGAAAGCCACTGATGATCTTTCCATCCATGCAGATAAATTGACTGTAGTACCTCTGAGTCTGGAGAAGAATTTTAAAATATCGGTTAATTTTCCCTTTGGGGGCCTCGTCTTGGCCCCTGGGGTTGGGGTAGGAATCCGGAAAACGCACGACAGACGAAGACGGACGGAAAGAGATCAGAATAGGTTACTTGAGCAAAGCTCAGGTGACCTAAACAGACCCGAATGCAAACCTTCCATTTTTTGTTTTCTATTTTATTTCTATTTCTTTTTGTGATTTTTATGTAATATTTCTTTAGAAAAGGACTTAAAAACGAATATTTGGCAATAGTGCACAACTTTAAGTATAGAGTTGTTGGCACCCTCTATAAAATTACCTTAAAGTTGGACAACATTTGTCACTTCTTTTTTAAATCTAGAATAGTTTTAGAGATTGCAGTTTCGTGTGAAATTATTAATACAAACACAGTTCAAGCACAATGCAATTTGAATGTAATTGCCTGGAACTTAATAAATTCCAGGCAATTAGATTCAAATTGAGTTAAAGAAATATGTACCACACTAATGATTACAGACCAATTAAAGCAGTATAAAACCAAATTCTGACAAATTAGAATTTGAGGTGTCTGTTTAAAGATCAAAGTCAATTTAACATGCAATATTAAACAATTTGTTTGATCTAAAGTCACATCACAGGACTATTAGCTAAAGATAGACTATGTACTGTCTGAAGCACAATACAAAATATATAATATACACTGTAAACAGAAATTTAAACAAAATTTAAAGTCCAGGCTTATTTATGCTTCTCACTTAGCATATATGTATTTGCTCTATAAACTATATAATTACATGTAAGCCAAGAGTACATGGAGCAAAACCGAACCTCTAATTTTTATATTAATTCAGACCAAATTTAAAAAATATTGTTTTTCCGCAAACCCTACCTTTACCTAGATTGTTGTGCCAACCTGAAAGTTATTATTGGCATTCAGTGATATATGTATGCACTGCTCAAGTCATAATCCTGCTCTATATAAGCAAAATAAAAATATTCTCCAAAATAAAAACAACAATTGCCTACATGTACATGACTCTATAGCTACGTATACCTACCCTATTTTTTCTTAGGATGATAGCGGAAACAAGCAGCATTTTTTTGGGCCTAAATACTTTAATATCAGAACTGACAATGGCACGTTACTTCATGTCAACCATAATACTGCATGAACAGGACATAAGATTATATACAGAAGTGGATATGATGGAAAGTACAAACTTCTACTGGTGAAGTATCATTATGTAAAATTAACTTGGATTTACCTTACACAACAAGACTAAGTTGATGAGAACATGTCTAGTTTATGAATTTCTAATAGATCTTTTTCCAAAGTATGTAATGAAAATGTTCAATAAGAATAATATATGCACAGATAATGCATGTGTACGTGGGGTGTGTATACATATACATGCATACATAATTTTACTACCAGGTTCAAAGCAACACTGTTATACACAATCAAAACAAGAAACCTATATGTTCAGTATCAGACTTTTCACTATAACTTCCATTTGAACAGCCCTAATGACATTTTTAATTGACCAACTGAAAAACACCAGTGTCCTCTAAGTCTGAGTAAGACTAATTCATTCAAGTCTGAGAAACACTAGTCCTCTAAGTCTGAGTAACACTAGTCCTATAAGTCTGAGTAACACTAGTCATCTAAGTCTGAGTAACACTAGTCCTCTAAGTCTGAGTAACACAAGTCCTATAAGTCTGAGAAACACTAGTCCTTTAAGTCTTAGTAACACTAGTCCTCTAAGGCTGAGTAACACTAGTCCTCTAAGTCTGTAACACTAGTCCTATAAGTCTGAGTAACACTAGTCATCTAAGTCTGAGTAACACTAGGCCACTTAGTCTGAGTAACACAAGTCCTATAAGTCTGAGAAACACTAGTCCTTTAAGTCTTAGTAACACTAGTCCTCTAAGTCTTAGTAACGCAAGTCCTCTAAGTCTGAGAAACACTAGTCCTATAAGTCTGAGAAACACTAGTCCTTTAAGTCTGAGTAACACTAGTCCTCTAAGTCTGAGTACCGCTAATCCTATAATTCGTAGAAACACTAGTCCTCTAAGGCTTAGTAACACTAGTCCTCTAAGTCTGAGCAACACTAGTCCTATAAGTCTGAGAAACACTAGTCCTCTAAGGCTTAGTAACACTAGTCCTCTAAGTCTGAGCAACACTAGTCCTCTAAGTCTTAGTAACGCAAGTCCTCTAAGTCTGAGAAACACTAGTCATACAAGTCTTAGTAACACTAATCCTCTAAGTCTGAGTAACACTAGCCCTCTAAGTCTTAGTAACACTAGTCCTCTAAGGCTGAGTAACACTAGTCCTCTAAGTCTGTAACACTAGTCCTATAAGTCTGAGTAACACTAGTCCTCTAAGTCTGTAACACTAGTCCTATAAGTCTGAGTAACACTAGTCATCTAAGTCTGAGAAACACTAGTCCTCTAAGTCTTAGTAACGCAAGTCCTCTAAGTCTGAGAAACACTAGTCCTATAAGTCTGAGAAACACTAGTCCTTTAAGTCTGAGTAACACTAGTACTTTAAGTCTGAGTAACACTAGTCCTCTAAGTCTAAGAAACACTAGTCCTTTAAGTCTTTGTAACACTAGTCCTCTAAGTCTGAGTAAAACTAGTCCTCTAAGTCTGAGTAACACTAATCCTCTAAGTCTTAGAAACACTAGTCCTCTAAGTCATAGTAACACTAGTCCTCTAAGTCTGAGCAACACTAGTCCTCTAAGTCTTAGTAACACAAGTCCTCTAAGTCTGAGAAACACTAGTCATCTAAGTCTGAGTGAGAAACACTAGTCCTCTAAGTCTGAGAAACACTAATCCTCTAAGTCTTAGTAACACTAGTCCTATAAGTCTGAGTAACACTAGTCCTCTAAGTCTAAGTAACACTAGTCCTATAAGTCTGAGTAACACTAGTCCTCTAACACTAGTCCTCTAAGTCTGAGTAAAACTAGTCCTCTAAGTCTGAGTAACACTAATCCTCTAAGTCTTAGAAACACTAGTCCTCTAAGTCATAGTAACACTAGTCCTCTAAGTCTGAGTAAAACTAGTCCTCTAAGTCTGAGTAACACTAGCCCTCTAAGTCTGAGTAACACTAATCCTCTAAGTCTTAGAAACACTAGTCCTCTAAGTCATAGTAACACTAGTCCTCTAAGTCTGAGTACCACTAATCCTATAAGTCTTAGAAACACTAGTCCTCTAAGTCATAGTAACACTAGTCCTCTAAGTCTGAGCAACACTAGTCCTCTAAGTCTTAGTAACGCAAGTCCTCTAAGTCTGAGAAACACTAGTCCTCCAAGTCTTAGTAACACTAGTCCTATAAGTCTGAGTAACACTAGTCCTTTAAGTCTGAGTGACACTAGTCCTCTAAGTCTGAGTAACACTAGACCTCTAAGTCTGAGTAACACTAGTCCTCTAAGTCTTAGTAACACAAGTCCTCTAAGTCTGAGAAACACTAGTCATCTAAGTCTGAGACTAAAAGGAAATATGAAGATATATGTCAGATTGATTTTCTTTGATTGTCACTCAGCAACATGCACGTGCATGTTGATTTATCACAGATTATAAGCACTGTGGCCTCAGGAATCATTGACTAAGAGCTAGGCATTAAACGGGCTGGTCGAGGAAAAAAATTACAAAAATAAATGGGTCTAAATGCGTTCTCTGGCCTTCCAAAAGTAATACCACGGCAATATGATGGTCAAGTTCTGCTTGCAATGTCTAGTTTTGACCACTGAAATCTCGGGAAGCCCCACGTGGTTGTTTCGAAAGTGAGGCAGTGAAGATAACAACAAATATAGCATGCAGTCATGTGCCATGTCGGACTCAACTAGTGGACAAGACAGCAGTACTAATGTAAATAATTGTTTTCAAAGGTCATGTATGAAGCATGATGCAAGTGTAGTATTCCTACCTATATGTTGTTGTTATATATAACGGTATTGATACCTCGTGCCTGTCATGACTTTTGCATGCATCTTTTTCTTTCGCCGCAATGTTTACATTTGGCCTTGTTGATGACGAGCGTGCAGTCAAATTACATCACTGATCTGGGTCAAATCACTGATCTGGGTCAATTGAGAGTTTTAGACTGTCAGGTGACGATTTGCATTAGGATTTCTTTAATATTTAATAAGGTATTTTAAACATGTGTATGCCATTTTAGCAAATATGACACATTTTTTCCCTGACCAGCCCCTTTAACTAAGAGCTATACATTTTTAATTATACAGTACTATATTATTCATGTCCTGTAATCATAAAGTGCCTTAAGAGTAATTTTGCACATTATATAGGGCGCTATCCAATATATATATATATTACAGTGTTCTTCGGTGTACAAACCATAGATAATTATCAATTATGTGAATGCAAATTGATGTCCTTTTATAAGGTTGTTTTTTAAAAGAAGTTTTACATAATCTTTTGCAAAGGAGATGAGACTTTATTCTAATTAACTGGTCACATATTTCTAAATATGAAAGGGTATTAATTAGCAGAGCTTATCTGGTCAATTAAGATGGAGATGCTGACAAAGTCAATGGACCATGAAAAGTATGCTGCATCTAGCATTTGATGCATGGGTTGAGATGTACTACCTAAGATGCATGTATGGTAAATGTTTGGTTGATCTAGCACTTATATTTTCAGAGAAACTAACTTAAACGCAAAAACTTAATGTGGATGGAGATGCTGACAAAGTCAATGGACCATGAAAGGTATGCCTTATCCAGCATTTGATGCATGTGTTGGGATGTACGTACTATGAGACTACATTAATGTTATAAGTACCTGAGCAGTACAAAATTTATTACCGAATGCGGAAAAACGTGAAAGAAAAGACAAAGTTCTTTTATATATAAGGAAAAAAAGTTAATCGTTCTTTTTACCATAATCTAATAAATAATGGAAATAGGTACAATCGTGCACAAAAATGATATTAATTCTGATGCATATGTCTTACACTAGACCTGTCTTATCAGTGTTGTACGTGAGAGGAAGTACTGATCATATCACCCTGTAAACCAAAATACAACTCCAACGTGCATGTTCTTGAAGTAACAGGCAAACCCATTAGATACGTTTGCACTTGCGAGAGTAACTGAAGCTTTAAAACAGAATCATTACAGAGACACACGTATCAGAGCAGACTTAATGACAAGACAATTTTATGTTCGTAGGTAAACAATTTGCATTGGAACCTTGACCCTTATAAGATTACAGTTTACATACGGTGTGCATGCAATATTTCGTAAATTTATATGAAAACTGCATAATGCCATTTCATTAACTATGCACTCTCGGAAAGATCAATTACCATTGTGACTGTATGTTCAGTTCCTCAGGCAAATAGATCTCGGAAAGAATAGCAGATAACCCAAATTTTAAACATCCTTGCTCTCTTCACCGCTGCCATTTTGCCTACTCAGAAAATCAACAATATTATTCGGAACCTATCGGATGTTTGGAGTCCGATAAACGGGAGCTGTGTAAAACTAGCTTTGCGCACGTATAGTTTCGTATTTTTGAACAGGAAGTATAACTTACACCAATATAAAATATTATCAATAAGTTTAATTGATATATTTAAATATTAATTATTATATTTACGCATAAATTTTAAAAGATTGGTTGTAGGAAGCACACATTAATATATATACTAAAATGGCTAGAATAATCCCGAGTTATAAACTTTTCCGAAAGAAACTCGAGTGTTCCGAAGCGGCGCGTCTAATTACCCAATACTACCCAATACCACCCAATACTACCCCATACGACCCAGTTATGAACCAAATACTTCTTTATTACTGTGAAATATCACCTTTGTAGACGTTATTTACTTCCATCTGTCATATTTTATCGGGAAATATGCGATTTGGTGCCGAAAACATCACCGAATTGCCGTGACTATGACCCAATACTACCCCATAC